GAATTGAAAGGTGATCCTTGTTTTGAGAGAAGAAAGAAAAAAATGGATTACTAAGTCAGTTGTTGTTACAAAGGGGGAAATATTACAACAGTGCCCCTAGGGCAGTTTTTATTTGTGTCCATTTGTTTTCATCCCTGGATAGCCTTCTGGTAATGGCAGCCGTCTGATATCTTCTGATGAATTGGGATCGGGCTTGGGTTTTCAGCTCTTGATCCAATTCAGCCTCATTTTTGGTATACTTCTCAAGCAGATGCTGTTCATTGGTAATTTGCTTATCCAGGGTAGACTGTTCTTTCCTCAGCTCCCGCAATTCTGCCTCCTTTTTCTGAATGGCATCATCAACCAGAGCTTTCGTGCTAAGGAGACCACCCAGTCTTCCAGTAGTCTGCTGAAGGGATTCTCGAGTCTTGGCCAAAGAATTCTCCAGCGTTGTTTGATCGAAGTCGGGCTGGGGGGTTTCGGCTGACAGAAGGCCAATGACTAACACTTCAGTCTTGAGCTCTGTAAGTCTTTCCATCAGCCGATGCAGAATGGGGACGGCTGGCGATTCCGTTGGAGTGTAAAAAAGAAGGCCGCCAACCGTCTGAATGAGTTTGTCCAATAAGTCGGATCTCAATTCTGAAAGGGGATGGTTAATGGCCTCAGTGAATATGGTTCGGGCCTCCGCTGGAACCGGAACAGTCGATAGGACAGCTAAGTCCGAAGGCCCCTGCAAGTCCTACAATGTCAATAAGTATTCCAAGGGAGGTGCAAATTTATTCAGACAAGATATGTGTTACCTCTGGGCGGACTGCTGTCAGTGAGGGGGGCAGCAATGAGGTCGGTCGAGTAGGGCAGACAGCTGGTATAATAGCAGCCGACTCGTCGGCTGCTGCGAATGGTCGCTGAGGTGCCGACCTGGGTCCCTATGGAAAGTAGTATTGGAAACAGTTAGTGTTTTTCGAAAGAAAAGTTATGACATGGATTGGTTTAATCTTACCAAATTAACAGAAGTCTCCGAATCGGATGAAGACATTTCTTCCATTTCTGGAGGTTGGGCTGCCACAGGTGGTTCTTCTGCCTGCCATTCGATGGCTAGGGGGGGCGCCGCTGCTGGTAGGGCGGCTGCAGGTTGGACGGCTATATCTAGAGCCACTGCAGCCAGGATCTCCGGGACACCTTCGATTTCGGGATCAGCAGCATCAGGGATGTCGTTTTGAGGGTCAGCTTCGGCGAGGGCGGCTGGTTCTTCCTTTGACATAGATGAGTCTGATGCCATGTATGGCGGCCGACCCATCTGGGAAGTAGTCCCCTCGCTGTCAGAAGAGACCCCTGCTGCTGATGGGTTGGGTGAAGGTGTCTGTGGAAAAATCATGAAGATGTTTGTTGTTTAATATATTAAGGTTGATCATCCGAATCCTAAGTCTTGCTGATAAAGGAACTTACTGGTTCTATAGGCATTGTTGGTAAAGATTGTCTCCTGGTCGGGGGCCTGGCCCGACCACTCCTCGGTACGGGAGGAGGAGTTTGCCTCCGCGTCGGGTCCTCCGCCCGACTGCTCATTGGCAAATTGGTCTGGACCAAAGGCCCGATTGAATGGTCGGTTAGTGCTGGCGGCGGTTGCGTGGTCGGTGTCACCAAGGTCGGTTCTGGGGAATGAAATGAGTAAAATCAAAGTTATGATATAGTGAATTGGTTCACGGTGTTAAGAAACATTACCAATTCGGGGTCGGGTCCTTGCTGACGTCCTAGTTAGTCCAAGGTCTGCTAGTGTTTGCTGGTCGGTCTCCGAGGTCGGGGGTGTTTGCAGCTGGGAAGTTTTTCTTTTGCGCGTGGGACCCCCAGATCCGATTCCCGGGGTTGTTTGTTTTTGGGTGCTAGTATGTATCGCCGCCCCTAGAACCAGTCCTTGGGGGGGGAGGAGTACGTTCAGCAACCGATCCTCGTCAGGGGATATCAGGGACCATACAACCGACCACCATTCATTGAAAGTATCTACAATCTCAGGGTTGGAGCGGAAAGGAATATAAGAATTGGAAATTATATACGTGGTGAGCTGGGAGATATAAGAATGGATTGATTTAGGAAGGACTCGTCGGTCGGGACTTTGAAAAATTATTTGGGGACACGCGACGGGTCCAGGGATACCTTGGCAACAGCCGAACTGGCGCGCCATGAATTGAGGTTCATAGTTAAAAGTGTAAAAAGTTTTCTGCCCTTTTTTATCAAGTTTCTTGCTACTAAAAAGAGACCTGGGTTTGAGGGCGACGTCCCAGGCGAAAGGATAGGTGGGATGAGGACAAGGCTCAGGAGTCGGAAGCGGGTTTGGTACTGGAAAGGGCCAAAAATGGTCGGGAGCATAACCCGCATATTTTTTATACATAGAAAATCGAGAGTTACTGCGGGTATCTGTTAAAATGGCAGTTATTATTGGATCGGACGATTGGAGTTTATTGCGTCCTGAGCAGAGTCGGTTGAGGACTAATCCTAAATGTTTTTCAGATGTTGGCATAGTGGGCGGAGATCCTAAGTTAAACGCGTTGGGGAAGTAAAGACGGAACCAAAGTTCTAAAAACCAAAAAGGACCCGACGCGGCAGTGTCTAATTTCCTATTATCGTTATCTGTTAAACGAAGGCTAACCCTGGTGAGTCCTTCGAACAGATTGGCTAAAAATAGGGTGCCAAGGGAGAAGAACCGACCTGACGCAATATGAATGGCCAGGTCGAGGTGAGAAGGAAGGACACTTTTGGAAGGGGAAACAATGACGTACCTACAAAGCCAGAACAGGATAAAGGCAGTATGCTCCCGGTCGGTTACAGGGGTCCCTGGAGCCCCTTGCTGGTCGGTTGCGAACTTTGTCCAACCCCATTCCTTCACACCTTGTAAAGACCATCCCGGATGGTCTTCTGATGGCTCCTGCCCATCTAGGGCTCCCATTACAGGGTCTTCACCCACGACTGGGAGATGTGCGATCATGGCCACGTCCATAAGAGTTGGGCCAAAGGGGCCTGATGGGAAGAGGAAAGTCCCATTTTCCGCATTCCAGAAGGCAGACATGGCCAATAACACCTTCTCATGCAGGTTGATAGGCATGGTGGACAGCAATATTGCTTGGTCGATTTTTTGGGAACGCCATTGGGTCTGGAAATGTTCTGCTACTCGTCGATACCAAGCGCGATACAGATCTTTTGGGTCTGTGAGATGGGTCTTGATGCTGTCCCGGATGCGAACTGCTTGGTAGTTGGGATTGTTGATAGCCAAGGCGTTGCGAGATTCCAAAACTTCCCTCATCCGATTTGAATCTTCAGGAGTAGTGCAATATGGACGGATCGTCGGAGTTAGTACTTTCGAGGCTGAAAATGGACCTTCTGGAAGGGTTCCGTCGAAAGGAAGGGCAGGCATGTATTGATTCGCCATAGTTAGAATGTTTTGGGATTGTGATTCACACAGGCTTGTATTGCGAAGATGGAAGTTTATCAGGCGTGTTTCAGTAACTGGTGCAGTTGCTAAGGGAGTTTTTCAAGAGGGTAGTGATTTATGAACTTCCAAACATTGATTGTTAAATGGCGTTTGAAAGTCCCTTGGCGGCGGGCAAGTTGTTACGTACGAAATTTAGAATTAGGTTAAAAGCCCAAGGTAAAAAAGAAGAATGGGCCTGGCAATAGGGTTGATTGAACTGGCTGAAGGACACCGTGAGGAAATCAAGGAAAATAAATTTATTTATTTATTTCTAAGGAAAATACAGGACGGAAGGTTCTCAGGTCGGTAGGTCCTCAGGACGGAAGGACTTCAGGTCGGTAGGTCCTCAGGACGGAAAGACCTCAGGTCGGAAGGTCTTCAGGTCAGTAGGTCCTTAAGACGGAAAGTCATTAGGACGGAAGGACCTCAGGTCGGTAGGTCCTCAAGACGGAAGGACCTCAGGTCGGAAGGTCTTCAGGTCGGTAGGTCTTCAAGACGGAAAGTCATTAGGACGGACGGACCTCAGGTCGGTAGGTCCTCAAGACGGAAGGACCTCAAGTCGGAAGGTTTTCAGGTCGGGAAGTCCTCAAGACGGAAAGACCTCAAGTCGGAAGGTTTTCAGGTCGGGAGGTCCTCAAGACGGAAAGACCTCAAGTCGGAAGGTTTTCAGGTCGGGAAGTCCTCAAGGCGGAAAGACCTCAAGTCGGAAGGTTTTCAGGTCGGGAAGTCCTCAAGGCGGAAAGACCTCAAGCCAGATGGTTCGCAAGTCGGGAGGATTGGCGGTCGGACCCATACTATTGTAGATTGGCAGTCGGGCCAAAAGAGCGGAAGGTCTGTGGTCGGCTCAAGGAGTGAAATATAGGGAATTTTTGGTCTGCTGGGGACACGTGTCAGCATAAGAAAGGTTGGAAGACGGTTGAGAAGGAGACGTTGTAACCGTTCGGGTGACGGTTTTCAGTACGGTTTCCCAGGGAATATTTAAGGATTTGGATCATCATTTGGCAAGGGATCTTCAATCAACTTCAACAAAGCAAAGTCAGATTTGGGGATCACCACTTTAAATTTCAGTCTTTTATTTTCCAGTTTATTTTCTGTACCATACAGTGTTTAGAGATTCCTAATCTCAGGCACTAATTAATCAAGTTTAAGGATATTTTCTATATCTTTGAATTTTACTTTATTTTTGTTGAAAAATTACATCAACAGTAACACAATAAGAATTATCAAAATTCGTGAAAGAACATGTAAAATCAATAACAATATAAGTTCCAAAGCAAATGAGTATAAATTTTAAAAAATTTATATACTCACTAACAGATAAAATTTACTATCCACTAACATATAAAGCAATGAAAAAAACTATAAAAAAAAAAAAATTTCAAAATTTTGTCAATGTATAAATTAGACACTAATCTCAAATATATAACATAGAGATATAGATTATTACCTTATAAACTTACTTGACATTATAACATGCCCTATAAAGAAATATGTATGCTTTTAACTATTAAAATGGACCCGAATAGTATACGGGTAGGATTTTCTCCAGTTATCTGTTCGGGTGGGTCTGGAGACACACTCATGGAGCGGGACCTCCATTTTCAAACTTCCATAGCTTCTTCGCTCTGTCTGATATCTCGTCTTTATCTTTACCTTACTACACTGATTTCTGCTTTCTCCGTTTCTTTCTCACCATTTGGCTAAGTATTTGTATACCTCTACGCGTACACACTACCGTATGCCTACCTAAATTTCTTGCGGGCGTCGCTGCAGATTCATCGTTGAATTCGTCTCCGCCGGCACAGTTAGATCCGTCGATTGTTTAAGTGTGGGCTGTGTCGTTTCCCCAATTAGGGTTTCGTGTTTCAATTGGATGGAGATCTAGTGATGTGCCGGTGCTCCGAAAATCTAGGGTAATTATTTTTGCTCAATGTCGAGTGCATCTGGGTCAGCGCCGCAGCCGGAGGTAATTCTGGAATGGCTTCAGAAGGAAATGGGTTACAGGCCACTCGGTCCGTATGCGTCTTCCACGAAGTCGTCAATCCCCACTGCCGATTCACTCCGCAAGATTTGCCGCGGGAACATGATCCCCGTCTGGAGCTTCCTGGTGAAGCGGGTGAAGTCGGAGAAGACGGTGGAAAATATCCGGAGGAATATTCTTGTCCATGGCGCCGACGACGGCGGGAAAGGGAGGAAGAAGGAGGTATCAGGAGGGGGGAAGGAGGGCGGTGCTAGCAGTGGTAGGGAGATGGCATTGCAGGAGAGGGAATTGGCGGAGAAGGAAGTGGAGAGGTTGAGGCAGATCGTCCGGCGGCAGCGGAAGGAGTTGAAGGCAAGGATGATCGAGGTCTCAAGAGAGGAAGCTGAACGGAAGCGTATGCTTGATGAACGATCAAATTACAGGTTCTACAATGATTGATTCTAATGCAATGATATGTGTGGTTTAACTTTGTAATATGTTTGATTTCTTGAACATTGCTGTTATTAGTATGAAGCTTGATAGAAATTTATTGGGAGTATGATTTTTCGATCATTATGTTGAAGTTTGTCGAATTCGAGAATGGTGAATTTTAGGAGACATGATTGATGCAACATCTGATTTGATAAAGCAGCCCTTGATATAAATTTATTGATTGATTCTAATGTTTTGAAGCTTGATGAAAATTCATTTAGAGTATGATTTCTTGATCATTATGTTGAAGTTTGTCAGAGAATGGTGAAATTTAGAAGACATGATTGATGCATCTGTTTCGATAAAGTAGCCCTCTTTTTGTAGTGTCTTAAATTTGTAAACTACTTGTATTTTTGTAGGCACAAGCACGTAATGTTGGAGGCGTACGATCAGCAATGTGATGAAGCTGCAAAGATATTTGCCGAGTACCATAAACGGTTACGATACTATGTAAACCAAGCTAAAGATGCCCAAAGATCTAGTGTTAATTCAGCACCTGAAATCGTGACCAGTTTTCACTCAAATAGCAAAAAAGGCAGTAAATCAACCGATGATGTCATTCTTATTGAAACTACAAGGGAAAGAAATGTTCGGAAAGTTTGTGAATCTCTTGCAGTGCAGATGTCTGAAAAGATTCGAAATACTTTTCCCGCCTATGAAGGAAATGGGATACATTCTAATCCCCAAATTGAATCTTCAAAACTAGGCATTGAACCAGATGGCGACTTACCTGCTGAGATTAAAGATGTGATAACAGATTGTTTGAAGACTCCTCCACATTTGCTTCAAGCAATTATTTCGTACACCCAAAGGTTGACAACTTTGATCACTAGAGAAATAGAAAAGATTGATGTTAGAGCTGATGCAGAAGCACTTAGGTATTTTCATAAACTTGAATCCTTCTCATGGTGTTTTTGTGCTGATATAATTTTACTCTACTTATGTGCCACACTGTTTTTAGATATTAGCGTGTATATAGCTCGTAAATTGATTTTTATACCATTTGTGATTGCGCATTGTGATCTAGTGTGTATCAATTTGTGTAACTCAAATCCATTTGTTCAGCTGTGGTTTGAATTTCTTTCGCGACTTCTTGTCTTACCATTGAATGTGCTCATTTCTCTTTATATTTTATTATGAAGGTACAAATATGAAAACAACACAGTAATTGAGGCTTCTTCTCCAGATGTAAGCTCACCATTGCAATACCATCTCTATGGTTATGGAAAGCAAGGAACTGATGCAGCTGCAAGAGGTACCGAGTATCAACTTCTAGAGAGACAGGTTTCACCTCCTACTAAATCAAATTGCCTTTTGTTGATTTTTTTTACCATTCAGTCTAGCAAGTGCTACCTTATTTGTTTACCTTTTATTGAGATTTTGTAGAATTTCTTATGCTATCTCTTCCTAGGATTGAAGGGCCTTGATACTAATTTAGAACCTGCACTTCTTTCTTTACTTTTAGTCATGCAGTTTTCATCTCTTCCGGTTTTCCACATATTTGGTCCTTGTTCAAGTTGAAAACATGCTTGTACTTGGTTACATAGGTCCATTTAAAATAATATGTTTGTATATATATACATATATTTAACAGAAAGCACATGTACAACAATTTTTGGCTACTGAAGATGCACTCAACAAGGCTGCAGAAGCTAGAAAAATGAGCCAACTCCTTTTGAAACGTCTTCATGGAAGTGATGATTCAGATACTACACAGTCACTTGTTAAAGCTGGAACTTCCCAGAGTATGAGCAGCCTTAGGCAACTGGAGGTAATGCCTGCTATTTGATCTATTGAAACCCAATGTGTTTACATTGCCTTGTTTCTTTGGTCATTTCTACATGATCAGGTGTACGAACATGCCAAATTGGTGATCTATAATAATTGTGTTCTGATCTTTTTGTTCATTGGAGAGCCAATATTTTCTCTTTAGTTTTAATGCCTGAATCTATGAATTAGCATACTTGGGGAATAACCATCAATCTGGTTAATGCTGCATTATTGGATAAAAGCAGCTCGAGAAAGATTGATTATTCATGACCACTGGATGTCTATCTTCCCTGTTATTTAAGTACTGGTCTTGGGTTGGGGTGTTGTATTATAGAGGTTGCAGCTGAACTTTCCTAAATGAGAGAAATATATATATATGTGTGTGTGTGTGTGTGTGTGTGTATGTATTTGTGTGCATGGGTGTGTGTGTGTAGAGAGAGTGAGATTTATGTTATCTTTATATGCATAGGTCTGTTCAAGCATTGCATGGTTGTACGTGATTTCAACTTAAGAACTGCATTTGTTCAAGTGTTACCTCAATCTTTCCTTTGCAGTTAGAGGTTTGGGCCAAGGAAAGAGAGGCTGCTGGGCTAAAGGCTAGCTTGAATACATTGATGTCAGAAGTACATCGATTGAATAAATTATGTGCTGAGAGGAAAGAAGCCGAAAATTCTTTAAGGAAGAAGTGGAAAAAGATTGAAGAATTTGATGCTAGGCGGTCTGAGTTGGAATCAATCTACAATGCACTACTTAAGGCAAACAAGGTATATCTCTATCTCTCTCCTGTTCACCATCACCCCAACATATTACACACATGTCCTCTGCATTAATTTGCTAAAAGTAGTAGGGATAATCTGCCATTAGGGTGTAAGTTGTGCATTGGAAACTCATCATTTCGGTATAATTTCAGTTTTATATAAGCATTTAAGCATTCTCTTTGAGAATAGAAAACCATTTCTATTCTCATGAAGTCAGCTGTTTTTTGGGGGATATTTATTAATGAATACAAGCAAATATTGTAGGATTGGCAAAATAATTCTGTTCAAGAAATTGTTCAGATGATGACCATTATTGCTCGCTTTTATATAAGAAAGTGAGATTCTTTTTTTGATTTATACTAAATGACGAACTATAATCTGTTGTAGGATGCTGTTGCTTTCTGGAATCAACAACCATTAGCTGCAAGGGAGTATGCATCTAGCACTATAATCCCAGCATGTAATGTGGTTTTGAACTTGTCAAACAGTGCGAAAGATCTCATTGATCATGAAGTTTCAGCCTTCTATCGAACACCTGATAATAGTCTTTACATGCTTCCATCAACACCTCAGGTATGTTGCCTGGACAGGAGAATTTGGTTTCAGTTTTGAAATTGTTTTTTGATTGAATTGTAAATCTTTCTTTCTTTGGTAGCTAATGCATTTTTTATTAACCTATTATGTTCTGAAACCAAATAGCAAGTAGCTGATGTGAATAAACCAGGTCTTGATTGGTGCTCTTTTAGAATTTTTACCTTCCAGTTCTTTTTATGGACCTTCTTTATTTCTATAGGCTCTCCTGGAGTCAATGGGTGCCAATGGATCCACAGGACCCGAAGCTGTTGCCAATGCTGAGCGAAATGCAGCAGTCCTAACAGCTAGAGCAGGTGCTAGAGATCCTTCTGCCATTCCTTCTATATGTCGCATTTCAGCTGCTCTACAGTATCCTGCTGGTGAGCTATCGTTAACCTCGGATGTTTGCTTCAAATATTTTCACATAAAATTACTATTTGCCTTGTGATGGCCTTTTATAAGTTCTAATATTCTTGAGTACATGAAATCGACTTCTTTTCGCATACTAAAGGAATTTGTGGGTTACATTTGAATGGTGGTGTATTCAAGGTTACTATTGTATTAAATCATGTTTAACAAGAAGCATCTGATTTGTACCTTGTAAGTTTCTCATGACTCCCATGCACAAGAATGGGTCTTCTTTCTCACTATTTTTTTGACGGTTAAATTGACAGTCTACCGGATCCACTTGCTCTTCCTAGTATGACTCGCTGTCTTTTTTTGGTACTAATTTTCTAATTGCATTGGTCCAAGGATTTGTACCTGGTGAGCTATCGTTAACCTCGGATGTCTGCTTCAAATATTTTCACATAAAATTACTATTTGCCTTGTGATGGCCTTTTATAAGTTCTAATATTCTTGAGTACATGAAATCGACTTCTTTTCGCATACTAAAGGAATTTGTGGGTTACATTTGAATGGTGGTGTATTCAAGGTTACTATTGTATTAAATCATGTTTAACAAGAAGCATCTGATTTGTACCTTGTAAGTTTCTCATGACTCCCATGCACAAGAATGGGTCTTCTTTCTCACTATTTTTTTGATGGTTAAATTGACAGTCTACCGGATCCACTTGCTCTTCCTAGTATGACTCGTTGTCTTTTTTTGGTACTAATTTTCTAATTGCATTGGTCCAAGGATTTACATGAATTCTGAATGCTCTCTCAAGTTTTGTGTGAAGTAGCAAAGATACATTATGGTAGAATTATCTTGACACTATGTCTAAGTGTACTTTTCAAGTTTTCTGGAGACCTGTGTACGTGGGATAACTCTGTTCGGTTACTGAAGTAAAAATATTATGACTACTTGCTGCTTAGTTTGAGATTTTCTTGTTTGCAAGATTAACTTTGAATAATGTATGTCTGCGACTCTCTTACATGGCGTTAAACATATAGGTTTGGATGGTTTGGATGCTGGTCTAGCATCAGTCTTGGAGTCCATGGAGTTCTGTTTAAAGCTTCGTGGTTCTGAAGCTACTGTATTGGAAGACTTGTCGAAGGCAATTAACTTGGTTCATATCAGAAGGGATCTTGTTGAGAGTGGTCATTCTCTGTTAAATCATGCTCACCATGCATTGCAAGACTATGACAGGTGCTGCTACTCTTTCTTTTTCTTTATCCAATTTCTTCAATTTTGGATCTTCTTGTTAGTTCGTTGGATCAATTTAGCATTGCCTTTTGGGCACATCCATCTCTGATGCTTTCTTGGACCTATTGATACCAAATGCAGAATTCAGCCGCCCATGCCCAATAAATTGATAGTTTCGATTATACATTGTATTTTACAAATTTAAGTTATAGACTGAGGAATTCCGCCAATCCAACCATTATATATATTGGACAAAGATGCATTGATGATTTTATGGGCTCTCCTTTGCAGAACAACAAACTACTGTCTTAAAGTGGCAGCTGAACATGAAAGAACCATTTCGGAGAAGTGGTTGCCCCAATTGAGTACTGCAATTCTAAATGCCCAGAAATGTCTTGAAGAATGCAAATACGTCAGAGGGCTGGTAAGTGAAGTACTTTTTTTTCAAGATACATTTTCCTGACAGTCAAAAGCTTTCACTTGCCTCTGAATTTTTAATCTTGATATTTCTGTCTTAATGGAAATAGTAACCAGTACTGATCTTCAATATTTTCATTTTCTTGAATAAAAATTGAAAGTATTTAGACCTTAAATAGGATTCAGAACAGTGCTTAGTCAATCATTTCAGTTAAATTGAAAGAAAGATAATTAAATGTAGGAGACAATGCAATAAAATTCCATGTGACCCTTTCCTCAATAAACTCTGGCAATATTCCATTTAATTAATGAAAGATGGCAAATCTACTCTTTGAAGCATCTTATGTTGAATGCCTTTTCAAGAGAAATTATGTATATAGTAGATGTACTTACACCTTGTTCCTTTCTTGTCAAAATTCATAGATATTGTCCCCAAGGTGAATTAAGGTTTTGGTATTGTTAACCATTAAATAAATAGTTTCGCCCTAGCTCTCAGTTCAATCTTCCCTCCCCTCCGGCACATTGAAATCCAAGAAATAAACATACATTATATGGAATGATCACCATCTTGATTGTAGTTTGGTTGCTAGCATGTTATTACAATCTTGTGACATTATCTTTTGTTGGCGAATTCCTCTAGTTGGATGAATGGTGGGAACAACCCGCATCAACTGTTGTCGATTGGGTCACTGTTGATGGACAAAATGTTGCTGCTTGGCAAAATCATGTAAAACAACTTCTGGCCTTCTATGACAAGTAGTAATTACAAAGTGGATGACCCTTTTAGTTGTAGAAACAGGTAATTTCTTACTCTCTTTTTTATTCTTATACCTCGAATGATTACTCCATCCCCGATTTATTGATTTAGAACCACATATAAACTTCTATCCGGCGGCAGATCGTTGCAAATGCTGTCAAATCGGGAGCATAGTTGATATTTTACATAGCATCAAACAGGCTATTATTTGTTTTAAATGTGATCGGGAAAAGGGAAGCTCAGAGCTACTGAGCACGGGCGATCATTGTTACGCTAGTGCCTAAATTTCTTCTTGTATTCATCTCGGAAGGTAGATCATCTACACTTAACTTCCCTGCGACTTTCGAACTTCTTTAAGAGTTGATTGTTCCCAAATGCTGGAATGTTGTTAATTTGTGCAGAAAAAAAATGTAGTGGCATTGTAATTCTGCTTCATTGGCTTGTTACGTAGTTGCATTGATGCTCATCCCCCCTTTGTTGTTTTTGTCATTTTAAATTTACTTTATGCATCATTTCTTTGCTCTTAAGGATGAGTGGACATGTTCTTGACACGTTGAGTTCAGGTAATTCTCTAGATTTAAAAGAATTTTTTTGAGTTTTGGAACTTATGATCATTGAAAATCGACAAAACAGAATTTAGTAGATGATTGGAAAGTGACAAAATGGAATCACGGGAATGAAATTTTACTTTGGTTTGCTCTGCTCTGCTCTGTGCCCGTGATGAAAGATAAGACTTACTCTGACACACTTATCAGATCAGCATCAATTTTCTTTTACTTGTTTTTCCTTGCATTTGCAAAAATTAACTGTGGTTATTTTTTAATCCCAGTAAATATATATTATTATGCTGAAATTAACAATATTATTTGATGTATTGTATTGTATTATTTATTCTCTATCCCCATTTATTCAATTCAGCTGCGAAAGAGTATGAATATAAGGGGAATGATTAGGATGGATTAATTAGCACCATGTTGGTTACTTGGATCATTATATGAAAATATAATGGACAAAGAGTATGAATACAGGGGGAATGGTTAGGGTGGGTTAATTTAGATCTATATATGAAAATATAATGGACAATATATGTTATTAGTGAGTGCACATTGTTGTATAATGTGTTAGCATGTATCGTGTATTGTGATAATATACATGTGGTTAAATTAAATACAATATGGTTTCTATGAATTATTGTCGTGGTTACATTGTATGTATGACTATATATTTATTATGGTAAAATAAGTGATGTTAGTATTTTTTTATATCATTTTTATTTATCTATTTAAAAATTTATATTTTAAAAGTTATCACATACTAATATTAAATATTAAAATCATTATTTGCACTTTTGTTAATGATAAAATATATTTTCCGTATGATAAAAATTAATAAGGTAATGACATTTATATAATATATTGTAATTTGTAAGGATATTTGTAATGTTCATAAATAGTATACTTACTATCAAGGAAAATAGATAATTTGTTATAGGAGGGAGGGAGTATTATATTTTTTTAAATCTATTTGTATCAAATATGTAAGTTTTTATTATTTTTAAAATTTTGAAACCTAAACATGGATGTATTCTTTGGAAGAAGTTTTAAAACTTTTACTATTTATTTAAAATTTTCATTTAAAAAAATATACTAATCAAATATTCATTTTTTATTTTTTATATTATAATAAAAAATTATTTTTATATTAAAATAAATCATCAAATTACATTTATTTATATCATATATAATTATATATATAAAATTGTATAAATAATATAAAAATAATTAATATGTATATTACTATTTTTATTTGACTTTAAAGGATTTCACTATTGATATTTAAATATTAATTATTATATAGTAAAAAAATGATAAAAATATTTATATTATAAAAATATTTTTAATATTAAAGATGATGTATAAAAACCTTAGAAGGTGAAGTAATTTTTTAAAAAAAATATGTTTAAAAAAAAATGTTTTTGTTAAAGAAACAAATCCTATATATCGGTGACACTGCAGTGTGGTTTCAGCCGCCAAAGGGTATGGCTAGAAGACAGCAAGAATTTGATGGGTGAATTCACACCAGCAGCACTTGCAATCTAACTGTCTCTTCACACTGAGAGCTATGCACGTGACACCCACACCCCACCCCACCCCTACCCCCCACCAGCCAGTTAACCAATCTTGATCATATCATAAATACTGTAATAACAATCCTCATCATCTTCTTCTTCTTCTTCATTCTTCCATAATGTAAAAATGTAATGACAAAAAAACAGAACTGCACTGCACAAATAATTTTGCTATAAAAAGAAGACTCCATTCCATCCTCCATTGTTGCTCCTAACCCCATAATCCCACAATGCCTAATTTCTTTCTCCTCCTTTTCTCCATTTCAATCCTCCATTTCTCCTCCTCCTCCGCCGCCGCCGCCAAGAACCACCACCACCGCCGCCGCCATTCCCCTGCAATCCTCGTCGGCACCGTCTACTGCCACGACTGCTCCTCCAAGGTCCCGGACCTCCACCCACAGCTAACCCCCCTCCCCGGAGCTTCCCTCGCCGTCGAATGCAACTCCACGGCAGCGTCTCCATCCCCTGATTTTCATCAGAACCTCATCTCCGACCACCACGGCATGTTCGCCCTCCGCCTCCCCTTCCCCGCCGGAAAACGCGCCGCCGCTTGCTCCGCCAAGCTCCTCCGCAGCAGCCGCCCCTCCTGCAGCGTCCCCGCCGCCGACACCGCTTCCTTCTTCCAGCTCCACCCCACGCGCCGCCGCCGCGGCGGCGCCCGTTTTTTCTCCCCCGGAGTTCTCGCTTTCCGGCCACTCCTCTGTGCTCAAAAACAGGACGCCCTCGACCTCCCGCCGCTCCCGGAGCTTCCCACCCTCCCGCCGTTGCCGCCGCTGCCGCCGCTCCCCGGAATTCCGTACCTCCCGCCGGCGAATTTGGGCGACAGGGACGGAACTCCCGAACCGGATTTCTTCCTCCCGCCGAATCCTCTCCTGCCGCCGCCGGCGCTAATTCCTCCGATCATACCTTCCCCTCCGCCGTCAATTTTCCCTCCGATCTTCCCTTCGCCGTCTCCTCCGCCATTCGTCCCGCCGATAAGCCTCCCGCCAATTCCTGGACTCATCCCGCCCCCTTCACCGCCGCCGCCGTCGCCGCCGAGCTTTCCGATTCCGATCCCGCCGCTTCCCGGACTCGGCCCGTCACCGCCGCCGCCGCCTAGTTCTACGGATCCACTGCCTCCATTTCCCTTCCAACCGAAGTCCGGGATCCCCGGTGTGCCGCCGGCGGGTATTTCGCCGGAAAGTGAAGCAAAGTCCCCTTAACTGATCTGTTGTTCTGAACATAGGTAGAGATGTATAATCCATATTCATATCAGTAGTACGTATAATCAATCAATCAATCATGTTTGCAATAAATCCATCTTCGTTCGACATTGTTCACGAGAATTTCTGTGAATACATAAATTTTGATTCTTTACGAGTACAGGGATGAAGGAGGAAGCATCAATGGCGTCCGAACAGTTCTTGAAGAAGATATCTGCTTTCAATGGGCCTCATTGAAATATTTTAGGCCCATTTAATAATTTCATGGGCTTTATTAACTTAAGGATCATTAATTCTGAGACCCATAGTATAATAGTAGTAATAATTATATCCTCCAAATTTATTTTCGTTTTTTTTATAAAAAAAAATAAAAAATTAAAAAAAAAACAAATTTCAACTAAAAAAAATTATAAAATTTAAAAGTAGATGACAATTACTATATTATATTAACATGGGTAAAGTGTGTTTTGAAAGAATGTATTGGCATTTTACAAGGGCCATGGATGCTTTCAATTTTTATTTATTTTTTTGGCATTAATTTATATAATTTAATTGTCTTATTAATATAATTAAACTTAATAATTTCTTAGTTATAAAAATTTCAGCCACACATGATCTTAACTGTTTTACATTTTATAGTGCGTTTTAATGATATATTACATGTTGTAGTATGAATTCTAGTGTCGGTTAATATATAATATTTGAATAATATTTATATAAATTATATATTGTTACTTAATATTTTTATGTACGACCTCAATACTATGAAAATTCATAGCCGCCCCTTTTCGAATAAATGCGTTTTGGGGTACTGGTGCGATATAGATTGTTTAGGGTTACGTTTAGATAAGAGATTTTTCTGATTTTAGAGTTTCAAAAATTTTGAAAATAAAAAATTTGAAAATAATACTCCAGTTATTATGTTACTTTTTTTTTTTTTTTTAAAGTATTATACATTTTAATTTTATTTTAAAATTTTTAATTTAATTTTTTAAAATTTTAATTATATTAATTAGTTATTTTAATTTTAATTTAAAATTATTTTGATTAAATAATAATTCTTTTCAACGATACATTCTTAGTTATTGAATAATTATACTTTTATTAAATTCTCGTATCTAAATTAAAAGGACACTATTTTTGAAACGGAGTATATATTTAGCATTTCATGTGACATTTTATAAAAAAAAATATATATTTGATATAATATTTTTTTTAAAAATAAATAAATAGTGTTAAAGTCTCTAAAATTGCTGTATAAACAGTATTTTCAATTGTTATGTTTTTTGTAATATTCAAAATCACTGTTATTATTATTATTATTATTATTGAATTCTGTATGAGTGATTGAACGCGGCATGCATGCATGTTGTCGTCTGCTCATTTCCAGGATTGTTTACTGTTCTATCTCATTTGCGTATGGCTAAATTCATTACCATCTCCAATCCAGTTGCACTGATTCATCCGCAACCGTCACCAATTCCACCCATGGCTGCCGATCTATATAAAATTATACACTTCACACCACTCTGCACCTCCACAACCGAAGGAATTAAATTAATGGCGGTGCTGCCGATCCGGACGGTTACTGTTTTCCTCACTGCCGTCGCCGTAGGCGTGGTCGGAAACTCGAAGAGCAGCGGTGCTCCGATCGTGCCTCCGGCGGCGGCGCTGTATGTTTTCGGCGATTCTCTGTTCGACAGCGGCAACAACAACCACCTGCTCACTCTGGCCAGGGCGAATTTCTCGCCTTACGGCATGAATTTCAATGGAGGAGCCACCGGACGCTTCACCAATGGAAGAACTGTCGCCGATTTCGTAGGTAGTTAGTGTTTCCTAATTCTCTCATTAAATTAAATTTCCCCAATTTCGACTAACAATTTTCAAGCCCTAATTTCTCAGCCGAATCGCTCCGATTGCCGCACTCTCCGCCGTACATGAGCTTGAATGGAAAGGAACTGAAATCCGACCAGTAGAAGGAGATGAACTTCGCCTCCGGCAGCTGCGGAATCCTTCCGGAGACTGGATATCATCTGGCAAGTTCAGTTCTCTCTCCATCGATCCATCGTTCCTCTGTTTCGAAAACCTAATTGAATCTAATCATCTCTGTTTTCATTTAATTCGAATCGAATCTAATTGAGCTCGCTTCCATTATTAATAAAATACATAATTCTGAAAAAGTTCTGTAAAATGTAACAATATGCATGATCTTCCTTGCTGCTTCTTGCTGTTCTTGTTGATTTTCAGGGAAAATGCGTCAATTTCGCTAAGCAGATTCAAAACAACAGTCCAGAAGCAACTCCCCAAGCACTTTCGAGACTCCGACGATCTGCTCGATTACCTGTCGAAATCCATCTTCATAATCACCATCGGCAGCAATGGCTACCTCAACAACTACTCATCGCCGGGGCTCTACAATTCAAGCCTCCATTACACTCCGGCAATGTTCGCCGAGCTTCTCATCCACCGCCTCTCCTACCTTCTTCAGGCAAACCTGCTTGCCGCCTCTTAGAAACATTGTTGATCATCGATTGCATTTGAGTCCTATATTTATAATATGCGTAGAGATTATACCGACTCAGAGCAAGAAAAGTGGTGATGTTCGAAATAGGTCTTGTTGGTCCCGAAATCGATCAAACACCTGGCAGCAATAACAACTCACTTCGAAAAGCAAAATCGAAAATTAAAACCTCAACACAGACTCGTTGTTTGTTGGACGATCGGACTGCGAATGCACATGCTGGTGACAACAAAAACATAAAATACAAAACAATTGTTAACCCAGTTCGATCATCGAAGACTTACGTCTGGAGTACCAACCCAGGAAGATTAATACTCAAGGATGAAGAAATCAAGCTTACAAAGTTGTTGTGTGAATCATTGCCCACGTAATGCTCACTCCATCACTCACATAGAATTCCCTAATACACTCATTCACACTTACAATCTCTACCCCAACCCAATTTCTTATTCCCCTCGTTATTACCTCATTTCCCTCCTCAATATTTTCTCAACTTACCATATGCAATGTTGTTGTGTTTACTGCTTTAACCTCAACATTCTCAACATGGTAAAATCATTAAATAAGAAAAGAAATTATTCTCAATAACTCCATAGTTTGACTTATATATTTTGTTCCAATTAAATCTCATAAAATCTGTCTATCCATTATAGCATATATCTTAGAATCGATGTTTCTTTGGAGACACGCCGGTCTGATTGTTCCACTTTGAATTGGCCGCTGTTTTTCACCATAGTCCATTTTCAACAAGTCCAATAGGATGCGTTCCGACCAACACGAAGATATTCAAGCACAATGGGCAATGCGTCGAGGACATCAACGAGATTGCAATCATCTTCAACGACTATCTTGCCCCAATGCATGCGAATGCCACATTGTCCCACCGAGGATTGAATTTTGTTCTTGCCCGGGTTTATCGCTTGACCTACGACGCAATCATCAATCCATCTAAATACGGTAACCATCCATTGTGTTATTATACTTTTCGGGGAAAATATCAATTTTTATCATTTTAATTGTTTAGATGAATTACGTATTTATCATAATTCTTGTCTATGTGCAATTTATTATACTTTTTCTATTATGCAATTTTGTATTCAAATATTTGGGCGCGAGTTTTTAAAAAAATGAGGAATAATTATTGTATTTTTTAAACAATTTTTTTTTTGTTAACAGTTAAAAAAAATTAAAAATTGAAAATAAATTTGAATGACGAATAAGTAGTATAAATATTGGAAGACTATAATATGTAATTAATAATGCACATTATTAGAAGTTTAAATTTTTAGATGATATAATTATTTAACTTGATACCATAGCTAGCATGAATTCCCATGTTTGTGAATCACCTTGATGTGTTGGAAAACTATGGCTCCATTTAAATAGAGAATTTTGGAGTTTTGAAAAAAAAAAATTAAGAATAATAAAAAATTAGTAATTTATGTTTTGTTTTGTGACAAGATAAATATATTTGATATGATATTTTTAAAAAATTAGTATAGATAAATAGTTAAAAAAAAATATCTATTTGAATAGAAATCTATAATATGTAGAGTAAGCATAATTTCGATCATGTGGGCTAATTCAATTCATAACAAACATCGAAAATAAGTAAAGAGGTTTGAATGATGAAATGCATGTGTTATTGGTATTAGTTGAGAAGCCAACAAAAACAATAAAATACTTACAAGATACATAGGCAAGAATGAATTAAATAATAAATAATATGTATATAGGAAGCAGCTGGGGCTTCTTGATAGAGATGAAAATGAAAATGAAAATGAAAATGAAAATGGCAATTGCATTGGTTGTTATTGTTAGGTTGGTTTGTTGGTTTCTCAACCCAAAATATGAATATGATGGCTAAACGACACCCCTTGTCTACTCTACTCTACTCTACTCTACTCTATGACTCTATAATTATGATATATATATATATATATATTCGACAGCTGAGTCCAACTAAAAATCACTCTTACTTATCCAATAATAATAATAATAATAATAATAATAATAATCAATGTGTAAAATGGATAATCAATGTGTTAAAAGTAACAACAACAATAAGAGTCCAAAAACACAGACAGGCAGACAAACTATTGTGAATGTACAGTCACTCCCAAGGCAATGCACTTGTACTAAATAGTAGTAGTAGTAGTAGTAGTAGTAGGGCTCCCTTCATACCACCCTCCCTGCCCGCCACGTGTCCCTCCTTGCAGAAATCGCACTTTTAGATCAACCTAGCCGGTTCAACCCTGTTGCCTTAGATTAGGGTTGTTCTCTTTCTTTTAATATCTCAACCAAATTGATCAATCAACATATAATACTATCTCCCTCGATAAAAAGAGCAACATTTGTTTTTTGAATCGCTGTATTAACGTTTAAAAATATTTTTATATTTGTATAATTTATCCTACAAATATCATTGTATTTGTATTATAATATTTGTATTGATATTACTAATTAATATTCAAATGCAAAAAACTCACTGTATATGTAAAAATCAATAGATTTGTAGTCGTAAAGTCACGAGTAGATGGACATATATCATTAAACTCTAGTATTTTGTTTATTCTTTCAAATCAAATCAAGTGTTAATCAATTATGTATAAGTTTTAATAAAATAAAAATATTATATTAAAAATTAAATAATATTTTATTTCAAACAATCGAACAAGCTTTAAGTAATTCTTATGTTCTTGTTTAAAAATTTTATTTATAGATAATAAATTAAAATTTTTTATTTATATATAGATAATAAATGTTAATAGTAGAATTCATTCGGTACATAATAGTAACTCTTGAAATGGTTTTGTATTGGAATAGGCAGGCATATATATATATATATATATCAAAACAAATCCCAAATTTACCGACAGCTATTGAATTAAATTTATTGATAGAGAGTCAAATAAAATAAAATAAAATAAATTATAAATTAAATGGGATACCTTTTGAGTGAATAGTCCAAATATTTTCCAAATTCAAATCCACCTCTTCGATCCAGTGCCATTTTATCCTCTCTCTCTCTCTCTCTCTCTCTCTCTCTCTCCACACGTGCCATTTTTCCATTACACGCCGGAAAACCCTCTCTCTCTCTTGTAGCTCACGCTGACATATATTATAGCTGCTCTGCTGTGTGTGAATACATACATACAGCTTGCTGTATCTATCTATCTATCTATTGCCTGTTGCGGCCAGATCAATTATTGGGAGGGGGCTAGGTTTTCCTGGATACGCTGCAATTGAAGAGGGGAGATTTTGGGGTTTGTGAGGGATTGGATTGAATTGAATTGGAAATTGAATTGAATTGGAGGTGGGAGGGTTTTTAAATTTTACGTTTGAATTTTTTTGGCTTGATTTGTTGCGGCGGTGGTTTTGGTGGCGATTGGTGTGAGGATGGGAGGTGTGACGTCGTCTCTGGCGGCGAAGTTCGCCTTCTTCCCGCCGAATCCGCCGTCGTATGGAGTGGCGGTGGATGAGGCGACGGGGAAGGCGCGGATGACCGGGGTGGCGGAGAAGGAGAACGTCGACGTGCTTAGGGTGAAGACGAAGAGAGGAACGGAGATCGTGGCGGTTTATGTGAAGAATCCGGCGGCGAAGCTGACGGTGCTGTATTCGCACGGCAATGCCGCCGATCTAGGGCAGATGTACGATCTGTTCAATGAGCTCAGTATTCACCTCCACGTCAATTTGATGGGGTAATTTCCAATTCATCGATTACTTTTAGTTCTTACTTACTTACAGTTAACATCGTCTTCTTTACTAAATTACTGCTGTAGCTTCATTTAATGGATGCATACAGATTTGATTTTGTTGTTTGGTGAATTAACAAACTAACTAACTTACTGATCAGTAGGATAAAGTGTGTTCTGCTGCTGCTTTTTCATTTATTGAATATGGCTGTTAGTGATCAGTGAATTGGTCAAAATCTGTGAATTAGGAGAGGACTGATTGAATTTGTGTTTTCCAAAGTCTTGTATTTTTGTGATCATCTCATTTATCACAGAACTTTGTTGTTGGAATCTGTTGTTAGTGTTTTGATTTGTTTTGGATTTCAATTTTTCGATGCGATTAGGTTTTGAAATTGATGCTTTTGGAAGGATTTTTGTTTTGCATTTTTAACTGTAGCTTCGACAATGATAAAAAGATGTTGAAAACAAACTTTCTTGGAATATTACTTTTGTTACTCGAATAAACATTATGTGTATATATATATATATAAGGATAAGGATCTACACTCAGCTCTATAATTTTTCGAGCTCTCCCATTTGCTCAAATGTCTTGATTCAAAGTAATGCAGTGAAGTTTGAATACATTTAGAGCTTGTTTGTTTAGCATTTATAGTTTTAAATGTTTTTAGTATGACATATGAAGAATTGTGAAATTATTACAGGGAATGATTGTTGTTGTTATTGTTGTTTTTTAGGTAATATTTCTAGAGAATCGTTCATTTTTAATCTTTAAAACACTAAGTGAACGCACTCCTTAGATTTCACATTTCTGTTTTCTGCAGGTATGATTATTCGGGATATGGACAGTCGACTGGAAAGGTATGAGATGGTGAAGGTGTATTAGTTTTAAGGATGTTTCTTTCTAATGGAAGAATGCTTACTTATGCTTATTTGTTTATTTGTCCGATAGCCGAGTGAGCAGAACACTTATGCTGATATAGAAGCTGCGTACGAGTGTCTTCAACAAACTTATGGAGTGAAAGAAGAAGACATAATATTGTACGGCCAGTCGGTTGGGAGTGGACCCACACTAGATTTAGCATTCCGGCTGTCTAAATTAAGGGCTGTGGTTCTTCACAGTCCGATCCTGTCCGGGCTTAGAGTTATGTATCCTGTTAAGCACACATATTGGTTTGACATTTATAAGGTAACCGTATTTTATATGAATAAGGTCTTTTTGTTTGTCTCGTAAGACTATTTAGTCGCCACATCTCTCATTGACCTTTGTTTTTCTTTGTAATACAGAATATCGACAAAATCCCGCTGGTCCAATGCCCCGTATTGGTTATTCATGTAAGTCTATTATCTGTTCTCATTGCATATGTTGTTGATTTGTGCATTACTTTTACATGTAACATTCCATTTGTCTTTTTCCATATTTCTCACCTCTAACATTTTCCATCTGTAATCTTTACGGCCTAGTCCTCATTAAACTGTACTAAGTCACCTAGAGAATTAGAACCTGTGACTCGTCATTTTCATTTTGTATATTTATCTCCAACAGCTATTTTTGCCAAGGCCCTTTCAGTGTTCGGTAAGTCTTCATAGTTGATGATATATAGATTCGACCTTCCTCATAGGAAGTGAATTCCCTGATTTCAGAAATTTGTGTAGAGGATAAAACATCATGCTTTATTACGACTTCACCGAATGCCACTGAGTATGTTGTCTAGATATTTCTTTACAGCAGTTCTGAACTCTTATTTGATGTGCACAGGGTACAAAAGACGACGTAGTAAATTGCTCGCATGGGAAGCAGCTGTGGGAGCTCTGTAAAGAGAAGTACGAGCCGTTGTGGATTAAAGGCGGCAACCATTGCGATCTGGAGCTTTTCCCGGAATACATTAAGCATTTGAAAAAGTTCATATCAGCAGTGAAGAAATCAGGACATATTCGAAATGGCTCTCTACCACCTGTAGATCCAACAGACAATGCTCGGAACAGCACAGATTGCCGGCACAGATCAAGCACAGACCAGAGAGAAAAATCGAGATCAAGTATAGATCACAAAGAAAACCCAAGGGCGAGCACAGATCAAAGGGAGAAGTCGAGCGACAAAAGAGAAAGAACAAAGAAGAATATGGATGTTGGTGAAAAGACCAGCTGTATTGTAGAACAACCGGAGAAAGCGAGGAACAGCATAGACCGGTTGGCTTGGGCTCAATGTTCAAAAGTTGTTTTTTTAATATTTTTTTCTTCGATTGATGTTGATGAATTTTTAATGGAACTGTGGCAGGTTCGGAGACATGATGAGATCGGCAGTTCTGTGCAATATCAACTGTTTCAAGCCTAACGGCGCGAAAGTGTGAGGAAGGAAGGATGGGAATTTGGATCAGGTGAGTCGAGATACATTTTGTAACATGTTATGTAGTTGAGTTGAGCTTAGCGATAGCTTATTATTCGATTTGTGTTTGTTATTTATTTATATGATATGATACGATAGATGATATGATGGGGTTGAATCGAAAGATGTTTGGGAGCTGCCGCAATGGCGAGAATTTGTGGTGTTTTGGTTTGGACTATGAATTTGGCAATTGTTGTGGATGTGTAGTAGTGATTGATTGATTGTTTCATACATAAAACAACCATCTACAAAATTTGTTGTTTTTTCTTACAATATGAAAACTTTCGACAAGATAAGATAAGTCACACTATATTAACTATGTGACACTATATTAACTATGTGTGACAGATATAATAACTAAAATAAACTTACGACCTCAGCACATGCTATACCATTCCCTTGTTTTAGTTGTTAAATATTGAGTAAGTTATTCATTGATGAAGCAAATCTCAAATGCGCCGCCGCAAGGCCAGCCCAGTGTAAGTGCAGTCCAAGTTCAAGGAGATTTGCGTCCAGTAAGTGCAGTCCAAGTTCAAGGAGATTTGCGTCCAGTAAGTGCAGTCCAAGTTCAAGGAGATTTGCGGCCATGAAGATCCAGATCAACAAGCGAATTTGTTCGGATAAAGATGTTGTTGGAGATTTGCGGCCATGAAGATCCAGATCAACAAGCGAATTTGTTCGGATAAAGATGTTGTTGGAGGAAATTTAGGGATAAGGTTTTATCAAGATTCAAAATTAACTATTTAAAGAAGATCCAAGAGAGAAAAAGAAGATACGCCATTCACCATGGGATCTTTTTCTTGCTTTCGTTCCCGTTTTACCTTCTTGCTTTCGTTTCTATTTTACCTTCTTATTAAATCAATTCCAAAGGACTTTTCCGATTAAACCTTCAGTGACAATTTTTTTTTTACGACAACACTTCTAAAGTTTCTAAATTGAATAATCCCTAAGAGTTGTTATTCCATCAATCTCCCAAGAACGATTTATTTTGTGCTTGTTTGTTCGGTTTTTATGTTTTTATTTTTTAATGTTCTCAATCAAAATTTCACCTTTAAAAAAAAAAAAAAAACACACACACGCATAGACAAGCCTCTTTCTTGAAAGAAAAGTCTTGCCAAAGTTACATAGATATTTTCAAAATTTTAAAACATTGTAATCTAATTAATTTTTAAATTATGAACGTTATATTCATAAAAAATAAAAATAAAAATCAAATTAAATCATCTCAAACACTGAGTATTTGTGAGGTATAGAAATTGTAAAAAGTATTTTAGAGAAACATTATTTCGTAGTACCTCTTTTCTTGTCTTTTTAACTTCTATTCTATGTCATTTACATTAAATTAATTTGTTTTGTTTTAGCTTAAATTAATTTGAAATAAAATTTTTGATTTAGATTTTTATTAAATAGTGATTCAAGATAATATTATATGTAAAAAAATAATAATATTTTAAGTCGGTAATTTATCTTTTAATTTAAATAAGAATTTAACATGATATTATACATGGCAAAAAAGAAGAATATCTTTTTTCTTTTGTCAAGATTGAAGATTCAAAGTAATAGAAAACCAAAACAAAACCCGAATCTGATTACCCAACGATTGCTTTCAATTTTTTTACTAAACAATCTTTTTATTATTTCTAGTTTCAATTCAATCTTTTCACTAATCCAAAATAATCTAAAATATCCAAAGTACAGCCCCATATAATTTTTCTGACCACACAATCAAATTACAATGTATCAAAGTTTGGCTAAAATGAAGTTAATGCCATCAAAGATTAACTGTCAGCCTAAAGAGAGTAATATTCAAGTGACATAACTATGAAGAAGGTTGACTACTTTGTTCAACTTAGACATTTACACTACAACATAATTCAGAATTCAATAGTTCCTACCCCAACTCACTTTTTTAACTGTAAAGTGATTACCCAACTCCAGTAAAAGGTAAAAAAATTAAAAACCCAAGTAACATATCATTTACCTTTAAAGTAGATGCTCAATTGCAGTTCTTGTCGACAATTCAGTAACCAAGGCGCTCGTTCAGCGAGGTTCTTCCATCACCAGTTTGCCCTGCAAAACACGTCGATCATAAATACAATCATAGGTTCAAGTTTCAAATCCCAATTAAGCAAAAGATCGACTGGCTAACCATCAGGGGGCACCCAAGACGAGTAATCTGGATCTTCAAGAAATGACGGCTTCTCAGGACCGAGTACCCTCTTAGGCTTTTTTGCATCCTTCTTTTCATGATTCTCGTCGTGGATGTGTGTATCTTCTTCATGGTATCCCCTCGAATGTTTTAACAACAAGGCCACAGCATCCTCTGCCTTAAATCCAGAACTCATTGTCTCTTCTTCCGAGTCTTTAACTTCTCTGGGCTCGCTGACTTTCTTGCGCTTCCTTATAATTAAGCCGGGGGCTGCATTTTCTAGGCCCCCTTCCTCCAATGTAGATTCTGTATGGCTTAGAATTTTCCCCCTATCTTTGTAGTCGACAAAATCATCCGTCTCCTGCGCTCCTGCTAACATTTCTTTTGTGATCTCTTTCTTCTCTTCTTTCGTGACCTCTTGCTTTTTGCTGTCCACAGCGCCTAGCCATTGAGGCTTGGAAATAGTATATGCAGTAGCTTTACTCTCGTCCTTAGCAGGCTCGGGTTCTTTCGGATTTTTATTAACATCTAATTTCTCCTCGGCTGCAGTTTTATCTTGGATGGAATTATTAACTGTGGTACCTTCCTTGGCCAAATTTTTACTCTTTTCTGCTGAGGGGATGATCTGTTGAGTTTTTGCCTCTAATGGATGTTCGTCTGTATTGGAAGCAGGGTTTCTCTTCACAATCATTTCCGGCCTTTTATTGGGGGTCGCCTCGGAGCTTTGTCCTCTAGATTCTCTTTTCTTAGCTGCTTCTCCGGATGGATCTGCTATTTTCAGTAAGTAGAGAACCCTGTCCAACTCCGACTGCAGAGTAGATAACTCATTACGAAGTTTTTCCTTGTGATCCAAAGCTGGGACATAAAATGGAAATAACATAGTCATGGAATTGATGTGCCCAAAACAGAGTAAACAGAAATGCGATGATGTCTAAGAAAGCATGCAATTATATCTGCTCATTTGAAGGGGAGCAAGAACACTTTCAATTACAATATGTTACTAAATACCCGACTGAAGGTTCCAAGTTTACTTATAACTACTTATGAGTTTATAATGCAGACAAATATTCTAGAGGATGTTCTAAAATGTGTCACGGAACAGAGGGCTTTACTATATTATATTAATCACAAGATCACCATCTTATATAAAGTAAAAGCATTTGGGTAGATAAATGGATAAAACTATTAACTCAAAAGAACATGAGGATTAGCTTACCGAGTTGAGATGAAACTGATGACATGTATGCATCGAGTGCATCTCCAGCATCAGCCGCCTCTTTTGTCTCTGATGGTTTTTCATCTTTTTGCAGTAATTTTTCCTTCTCTTCCATCTGTTTAATTAAGGCATCCTTCTTATCAAGAAGAGAATCAGCAGTTTCTACAGACTGACTCTCACCATCCTTTTGTTTTGCAGGTTTTTTTGTTCGATCATAGAACTCGTCATCATCACTGCAAGAACATCATAATGCATCACTGCCAGAGGAAATATTGTTGCACTAGATATTTGCAGTTAGTACAATATTAGCAATAGTAAATGTACGATATTAGCAATAGTAAATGCTTTTCTCAAGGGTCATGTGTTCACAAACATGTGAGTAATGAATTTTTGCAATCAAAGTCTCACCTAAACTAAACAAAAAGTTATAATACAAATTATAAAATACCTCAAATAATCATCTTCATCTTCTTCCATGGCTCCCTTCTTCTTACCTCTAGACCGATTTCCAGCTCGTGCACCAAGGCTTTCCCGAATGCTTTCATTCAGAGTCTCTTCCAAATTCTCAAGTTCTTCCATTATCTAAGATAGATTTGTATATTGGAAGCAGCCAGAAAATGAATTCCAACTTTGAAGAGATAAACTATATACATCAGGCTTCAAACTATCTCATTCACCACCCGAGGGAAATAGTATAAAGTAAAAGCAATTAAAAGAGATACTTCACAATTCATTTGGTTAGTAATATATGCAGAACAGAACACAATACTCTATGCAAACATGTATAAATCACCAGAATAGGTGGCTGACCACATACAAAATTGTGAGGGTAAATTAAATGATGCAAAGGGTTCCATCTACATTCAAGAAGACTCCCAAGATCCCAATATATTTTAAGTGATTTTTTCAGCATTGAAATCTTTTGGTAAATATGCTAGCTAAATAGAACCTAAAACATCATATACATCAACAGGGTAGAACTCAAAACTACACTCTGCAAACAACAGGGGAACATGGAATTGGAAAATGAATGGTGTGAATTGAAACAATGGAAAAGAAACATCTTTATCTAATACACCCTTTAGGACTATCATATACCTGAGATATCCTTTGCTCATTTCTAGCAATCTGAGTTTGTTGTCCTTGTGTCAAGCCACCTTGTGCAATATCCTTTGCCCGAATTGCATCAATCTCTTTCTTCATGTGAGTTATCTATAGGACAGAATGATCAACTCTTATTATAAGTAACACATAATGGACAAACAAGATAAATGTCAGCTTGTAACAGGGCATGATATGAGAGTATATGCGCTCATATACCCAAATCTGCAACCCCCCATACCTTTTTTATCATATTACGTAGAGTATTTAAGAAAAGGACGACCATCATAAGAGACTTGTTTCGTTTTTTTTTTTATCAGAACCATAAGAGACTTGTTAGTATGGTGAGCGTTAGGTTTTGGCTTTTTGCAGAAAGTAAGACACACTTCCAAATGTATTAGTCACCAATTATTCACTCATGTTAGGTCACAATCATTCTAGGGTATAATCAAGTCGAGCTCAAGCAAAGCAGACAAGTTCTTTATAGTTGAGTTCAAATTTTAAATGTTTTGAAACCACTACCTCATCCGTCCCAAAACATTTGCTAGCTTTCTTTTGGTGCTGTTTTAGGTGATATAATTTTGAATTTATTTGACAATTATGCCCTTATTTTATGTTCGGAATAATTTTATAAATTGTATTTAGAAAGGTAAAAGATATGTAACAACATGTAACTAAGGAAATTTTTTGATTAAGTTTTAAAACATCCTAAATTAAAATAATAAAGAAAAAGATTTGGATGTCCCAAACCTCTTGCAATTTTTCTTTTATTTACACACTTTTAACATTGTACCCTTCTATATACAATTTCACTCATTTATAAAAAGCAGTCCTAACGATGTACTGGCAAAATAGACCAAAATTGATCACTTAAAAAACCATGCCGAAACAAAAACTTAAAAGTTTAGAATGGAAAATTGATAGATATATTATTACATACATATGCATTATCAATATAAAGCAGTGTTATGTATACATTGTAAGTGAACCTCCGACCACTTTTTCATATTTTATTATTTATTAATATAAGTAAAAGGTAGAAAGTCAAACTGAACTGTTGGCTCAAACTCGAGTCAACAACTCTTTTCAACTCATCTTACACCCTTAGCCAACACTCCAAAAAGATCAATAAGAACAGTTTTTCATCTACAACAAAGTGGAGAAATGAAATCTAGGTGGTGAGAGCTCCTGTTACATTTAGGAGAGACAAGAAAAGAACCGTAGGGACCTACACAAACTTAGGTTAACACTCTAGTTATTTGTACACATGCATGGATGCACTAGTAAATTCACTGTTTGACACTATAAAAACATGTTTACCACAAATTGCCATCATCTTGAAGTCAACATAATACAACTAACCTTTCCAAGTCTTTTAATGACTTTTTCTCGTGTTTTTTCCTGCTTCTCTGTAAGCTGCCCCTTGTAAGTTTGCCAAGTTATTTCATCAACTTCATCCTAATCAAATGACACAATACAATCACTTTAAAGAAAGGAATCAAGGAAAAGGAATCAATCTGACACTAATGCAGCACATAATCATCTAATAAATTATCATTAAGCCAAACAAGCGATCAGAATATTACAAGAATTAATTCAAGAAACCATTCATAAACAAACTACATGCAAGTAAAGAATGGATTTTGGAAGAATCAAAAGAAATATATATAAAACTCTAAAAAACCTACAATGCAAGATTAATCCTCATAAAGAAACGTCACTTTGCAATAGTAATAATGAAGTAAAATAAAAAATGTTCTAGACCAAACTAAACAGTTCCAAAAACCACAGCAAACTATTTACACACACTCGATGATAGAGAATTTTATGGATCGCATGGAAGATTTAAGCATATGATTTGAGTCATTTAATGGGGACCTACTAGATCCCCAGGAAACTAGACATTACACCATGTCCAGTCCACACACCAAAGTCAATCTGAATACACAATTCCCTTTATGAATAAAGAGTATCATTTCATGCTTGACCAAAATCCAACTCCAGCAACCTTATGTTAAATCAATACATCTTCGTTATGCCAAAAAGGTTATGTTAGAGAGCAGCATTATATCAATTTGATAATTGAAACACACAACATCACATGAAGGGTAGGTATTTCTGCTATATTCAAGATGATATAATTATTCAGTACCTTACAATTACCATGGTTCATTTGCTTCCAAGAGGGATATGAACACCCAATATTTCAAAGAAATTCATGATTCATTAAATATTTTCAATAATCTTAATTACTTGATCAAACAAAAATACTTTTTATATGGGTAACTCAAACTAGGAAGTAATACAACAACGTAGCTTATGCAATCATCCAAAAAGCAATATAAAATCATAGAACGTTTAGAATAATTGTAATCCAAATAAGTATGTATATGTACAAACCTCCATTTCTTCATATGCATCCTCACCCATGCCCCAGGAAATCCCATCTGCATGGGATGCTTCCACTTTTGCACGTAAAAGTGATGCTTCCATGTCTTGCATGTCCTGTCTCATCTTCGCATTTCTTAAATTCTTTAAGTCTGCCTCCTTTAAAACCAAAATTACACAAAAACACTCAAAACGCCGAGATGGCAAGTACAAACACCAGATGTCATAATTTCATACATACAAGAACAACAATTATTGTTTGTAGGAGGTTACAAACTAATTTTGAATTTTATGAAGCTTATGTCTGACTAAGGAAAAAGTATCAAAAGTAACTTACCGGTGGCATCAAGTCGGGTGGTCCTTGAAATATGTAAAGCCTGGACGAGCTGTCCAATGAATGACCAATAGAATCATAAATTAAAAAAGCTAAAAATAGAGTGTAGAGTGAATACATAGAGAGAGATGTATTAGAAAATTACATTTGATAAATAAATTTTAACCTCTATAATTCTAGCATAAACTTCCAAAATGATAACCAAAAGCCAATAATATGTTAAGTGTTTAAGAAGGAAAGATAGATCAAGTTGTTGATGAGTTAGAAAATTAAGGTAGGTAAAAATAATATCAGAAAATAAATCATATACAATTAAACTAATTGTATTACTTACTGGCCAAAACGGATGACATCCCCCACATGCAAATCAACATAAACCCTCTTCTTTACCTGTTCAATATCCATTATAACACATAACAATTGCATTTATTACAGTATAAATAGCAGTTAAATTTTCCATCTTATTTTAAAAATAGCAAAATAAGTTATAAAGAGGAAATTGTGTATAGCTTATTAGTATCTTGAATTATCCATAATACCTTAACTGAGAGTCGATACAATTTGATTCTAGGTCAAACTGCATGCAATATCTCACACATTTTCAGGGGTAATTATATCAATAATATATATTAACAGGAAATGCAATATTCTAGACCTCAAAACATTAGATCATATTTTTCTTTTCTTTTCCTTTCTTTTATTTTCTTTTTTTTCTTGAGAAAAGGTCATTAAAGCAAATTATCCAGCAGGATCTACAATTATCAAGATCACCATAATTAAAAAAAATTTGAAAGGGTTTGTGTAGGCTACATTGGTGATTGGGACAGAAGCAATGGTACCTGATTTTTGTTCACAAAAGTACCATGTGTACTTCCAAGATCATATATATATGCATCCCCATTGCTCTTGAACTGAAGAACTAGCACCATGAAAGATAATGCAAAAGATCTGAGATAATTGAGAGACTCACATTTGAAATGTAAGATATAATTAGCCACATGTAAAAACATGCTATAACTTTGTCAAAAATTAACCACATGAAAATGACAAACTGACAGAAGATTTATATTGAGATAATATTTAAATATTTATCACATCATTATGTACTTTAATTTGATGTTGTTTACTCTGAAATATGACATATATCCAAAATTATGGAACTGGACCTATCTAAGTTTACCATTTAAAATCCGATCTCACACAAATGCTCTTTAATTATAACAAGGTGGCTTGGTTCTTCCAAAAAAAAAATACAATTAAAAGAACAGTGTGATATTGGAACATGCTTAGTCCAGTTTACAATTTCATTTTTCCTAGAGTGATAATAACCATGATATGTGATTATCTACGGTTTTCACTAATCACTATATAATTGGTTGTTGCATTCGCTTCAAGTTGTCTTTCTGATAGATCTCAATAGCTTTTTTTAATCTATTAACCTATTGTTGACAGTATATCTACATCTATTTTAGGATTTCTTGTCGATAAGAGTTTCTCTATAACACTGGTTGAATGTCCAATTTTAACATACCAATCAAGACGTCCATACTCCAACTAATGGAAAAGTTTTACAAGACTATTACATTAAATCCTATTTATTTCGATCGTTTGTTTTAGCATCATTATTCAATATTGTAATATTCTATTGCATACAATAATGTGATTCCTATCTGGCTATCTCATATAAGGAACTAAATGTGCTTACAAATGAAAAATGTTTTGGAAACAGCACTATGAAGAATAATTCAAAGCCTTTTAATAAGTAAATACTGAAGAAACACACAGGAACATAATAGAAAATGTGAACAAATAAAAACAGAGAATGATAACAATTTACAAAAATCTACATTAAAACTGTACCAGCATGAAACCGAGATATTGTAGGATGCTCAAGCACAAAATCACAAAGATCCACACGGCCGAAAATGTAAGCTCCCTTCTTGTTCCTGGTACATCACCAAACATAGATGTCAAAAATCCTCAGCAACTTCAAAATCTCGGCACATTAACTTCTCCAATTAGTACAGAACATTTTCAAGAAAGAAATAAAACAGTTACTAACACATCAAATTGAGTGATGATGGCGCCATCCTTGAGGACTTCGAGAAAGAAGTCGTGGACAGGTGGACCGCTCCACACAGGAACTGTGTACGGCACCGCCGCGTTATTACTCCGCGCCTCCAGCTTCTTCTCAACATCCGGAGGAGCGCCGCCGTTGTTCGATTTTTCGGTGGAATTGGAAACCTCGCCGAAACTTACCGCACTATCCGTAGGGTTTGATTCTGAGTTGTTTAGGTGGTTTATCGACGATTCCACTAAGCGCTCGGGTTCCGAGTGGCTGGGGTTTCTGGGAGGAGGGGGACCCATCCCGCCACCAGTGGTTGTTTCCGATGTTTCCACAACGGCAGCGGAGGGCGGGGAAGAGGGAGGCGGAGGCTCCATGTGTGCCACCACTGAGAACGTCGATTTGCGAGGCAACCAATTTCCGGATTGAAGAAGATTTATCTCAAACGCGATACAGGGGAGGAAAGGAAAGGGCGATTTAACCTAAATATTTACTTATATTTTTATTAAAAGCTTATTATTAGTACTATATTGTTTTAGATAGAATTCATTCTTTTGTGTGTTATATATAGTACTTTGTCTCATAATAATTAAAAAAAAAAACGAATAAAATATTAGAATTTATCATGAATTAAACTTAGGATTAGGAGCTTCAGATAAAAAAAATAAAGCTAATAAATTTAACTTTAGGAGATTTTGTATTTTTTAAATCTACGATGCAATTTCTTCAGAAAAATCGCTAGAGTTTATTATGTCATCTCAACAATGAGATATGAAAAGTAACGATTGTTAGATTGTATGTGATTACAATTATAATTTATATCTTTTATCATTAATTAATCTCATCAAGCAATTAATAAGTTATAGGATTTCTGCCTCCTCGCACTTATTAAATACATTTAAACCAAATAACTTTATAGGTCATACTTGATTTTGACTGATAGTCTTAAGGGTGTGTTTGCTTGGGGTTTGGATTTTGGATTGATATTTAAATATTAAAAAATTTGAATTGAAATAATTGTATGATGTGATATAAATATAGATTGATATAATATTTTGAATGTAAAATTGGTTTTTAGTATAATATAAAAAATAAAAAATAGGTGCTTAATTTGATGTTTTTGGGGAAAAAAATTTGTAAATAATAGAAGTCCACCAAAATTTTGTAAATATAAAAATATTTTTAATGTTAAATATAATAAAAATACAAAAAATAAATAATATTATTTTTTTTAAATACAATAACATTTGTAAACTAATATATATAAATATAAAAATATTTTTAATGTTCAATACAATAAAATAAAAAACCAAATGGTATCCTTCTTATCAAAATGGATATTCCGCACATATTTGGGGGTTGAGATATTTTTTTTATTAAATACACAAAAAATGAAACTTATTTTTATCAATAATATCACATTAATATTAAGTTACGCTTACATATACAATTTTGAAATCTTTAATATTTTTTTTAACAAATATCATATAATATTTAGCATTTCTTAATATATATTTAGGCCTATTGAAATTTTTTGATCTATTTTAACCTTATTCAAATTAAAATTAACAATTTTATTCTATCAACTTGACGTAATGAATATGGTTCGTATTGACTTAAATACATGGTGTTGAATGTGTTTTTTTATTTTAAATGTAACATGTAAAGAAAAAATTCAATAGAATTATTGTAACTATAATTAAAAATAAATATTTTGAATGAACAAACAAATGTTTTAGTAAAAAATAAATTGAGTTGACAAAGAATAAAATAAAATAAATTTATTTGCTAATATTATATAACATCATATAAAAATATTATCTAAATCAAAATTCAAATAAAAATATTAAAACTCAAAGTAGCAAACAAATCTTACAACTTGATATTATATTATTTTCATTTTTAATATATAAATATTTAATAATAAACACGGTTGAAACGTGACTTGGATTTAGCGGTCTACCCGATCTAAACCAAAGTGAAAGGGTTGTTTCAATTGGCAGAGTTCCTTTTGGACTTATCCTAATTAATAACAAATAGGCTTAGGGTTTAGGGTGTTTTGGTTTGCTTATAAATAGACAACTATAATTCTTAGTCGGATGACATATTGTAAATCTCTGAATCAGTATAATAAAATATCTCCGATTCCTACCCGTGGACGTAGGTTGACACACCGTCACCTAACCACGTAAAACCTCTGTGTTCTTTATTTGCTTTCTTTCTCGTTTTCTCATAACAAGTGGTATCAGAGCCATATCTCATTGATTGAAGATGTCCTCGTATAAGTTTGATCTGGAGAAGTTTAATGGGTCGAATGACTTCACGCTCTGGAAAGTCAAGATGACGGCACTTCTGGTTCTACAAGGATGTGCGGCTGCGTTGGAGGGAGAAGACAAGTTTCCTAAAGACACGAAGGAGGAAGTAAATAAGGAGATTTTGGCAATGGCTCATTCCGCGATCTTGCTGTCAGTTACTGATGAGGTGTTACGGGAGGTTGTAGATCAGACAACGGCTTTTGGGTTATGGAATAAATTGTGTGAGAAGTACCAAAACAACTCTCTCACGAACAAGCTATATCAGAAGCAACGTCTTTACACCCTCCGGATGTCCGAAAGTACTCAGGTAAAGGATCATCTTGATAGCTTTAACCGTATCATTCTTGATCTTCAAGGAGTTGAGGTTAAAGTAGATGATAAAGATCAAGCCCTAATTTTATTGTGTTCACTACCTGGTTCATATGAGAATTTTGTAGATACTATGCTATATGGTAGAACTACAATTTCTGTTAATGATGTGAAAGATGCCCTTCTGTCCAAAGAATTGAAAAGAAAGGTTTGGAAGAGGGTTCTGGTTCAGGTCTGTTTGCAGGTAGGGGAAGACCACAGGAGAGGGGTAATGAGAATGGGAGGTCGCGTTCAAAATCAAAATCCTCTAGCAAAGTTAAGTGTTATCTTTGCAAGAAGAAATGGCACGTTAAAAGGGATTATGCACAAAAGAAGGGAAATACAAAAGTTGATTCTAGTAACAGTGGCAGCAGTGCTGCTGTGGTACAAGACAGTTCTGATGATGGGGACTTTGGTGAAGTTCTGACGGCGTGTAGTGCTAGTACTGCTGATTCCTGGATTATGGATACCGGTGCTTCTCACCATATGATGTTCTCTCGTGATCTACTCACTTCTTTTAAGGAGTGGAATGGAACGGTGAAGTTAGGTGATGATGGGGTTCTAGCCATAAAAGGGAGCGGGGTAGTGTAGATAAAATTGCATGACGGTACTATCAGCAAATTTGACTGTTGGTATGTTCCTGAACTCAGAAAGAATTTGATTTCTCTTGGTACCTTAGCCAAAAATGGTTTAAAATATCATGGTAAAGGTGAGTGGGTGAAAGTCCTGAAATGTGCTCTTGTAATGATGAAGGGAAAACTGCAGCATGGAATTTATTTTCTATAGGGCAGTTCAGTGATGGGAACGGCGGCGGTATCCCAGTCCTTGAATAAACATGATGATAGGACAAATTTGTGGCACCGGCGATTAGGTCACATGAGTGAGCTAGGGTTGTCTGTGTTGAGCAAGCAGGGTTTATTTGGTGGGGATGTGATAGGTAAAATTCAATTCTGTGGGGCTTGTGTCAAAGGGAAGCAACGCAGGGTGAGGTTTAGTACCGGTCATCATACTTCAAAAGAAATTCTGGAGTATGTTCATTTAGATCTATGGGGTCCCTCTCCGGTGAAATCGCAGGGCGGGTGTTCTTACTTTGTCACTTTCATAGATGATTATTCGAGAAAAGTCTGGTTGTACTTTCTGAAAACTAAAGATGAGGTGTTTGGGAAGTTCAAGGAGTGGAAGACCATGGTTGAAAAACGGACGGGTAAACAGGTCAAGACTCTAAGAACTGATAATGGGTTGGAGTTCTGCAACGCTCCATTTGATGATTTCTGCAAGAAAGAAGGTATAGTGAGGCACCGCATTGTACGACAGACACCACAGCAAAATGGAGTTGCAGAGCGAATGAATCAAACCCTCATGGTGCGTGCTAGGTGTATGCGCATATTTGCTAGCTTATCTAAGCATTTCTGGGCTGAAGCAGTAAACACTGTTAGTTATCTGGTTAATAGATCTCCATCAACTGCAATTGACTTAAAGACTCCTCAAGAGGTATGGTCCGGTAAACCTCTTATTACTCTAATCTAAGAATATTTGGATACCCTGCATACGCTCATGTGAATGATGGTAAGCTGGAGCCGAGGGCGGTAAAATGCATATTTTTAGGGTATGCAACATAAGTAAAAGGTTATCGAATGTGGTGTACAGAAGGTAAAAATCCTGGTAAATTTCTTATTAGCAGAGATGTAACCTTTGATGAATCTGCTATGCTTGATTAGAGTAGAGGTTGTGAAAGTATTGCAGGTACAAAAGATTGTGGTGCTAGCCAAAGGGTGGAGTTTGAGACTTCTGACAGAGTTGTGTTAGAGGAAGAGCAGCAGAATAATACTATTGATCAATTCGATCAACCAGATCAGTCAAAACCTCAAGGGAAGCCGGTTGAGGAGGAAGTTGATGACGCTGGTACTGGGGTTGAAGATTCCATAGCAGCAAGAAATGGAAAGAGAAATATTCAGAAACCAGCTAGGTTTGCAGGATGTGTCAATAAATGTGACATGAATTCTGTGGCTTATGCACTAGCGGTTGGTGATGATCTTGGCTCTGATGAGCCAAAGACATATAAAGAAGCTGTGGCGAGTAAAGATGCAGAAACCTGGATTATGGCAATGAATGAAGAGATGCAGTCTCTTGAAAAGAACAAGACTTGGGATCTTGTTGCACTACCAAAAGGGGTGAAGCCAGTGGGATGCAAGTGGGTCTTTAAAGAAATGAGGGAATTCCTGGTGTTGAACCTGCTAGGTTCAAGGCGAGACTGGTGGCAAAAGGGTTTTCATAGAAGGAAGGAATCGATTACCATGAAGTCTTTTCTCCTGTGGTGAAACACAAAACCATTTGGGTTCTTTTGGCAATGGTGGGTGTTTTTGATCTGGAGCTGGAGCAGCTTGATGTAAAAACAGCATTCCTTCATGGTAATCTAGAAGAACAGATTTACATGTCTCAACCGGAGGGGTTCTACAGTTCTAAAGGGGACCAGGTATGCTTGTTAAAGAAATCTCTGTATGGCTTGAAGCAGTCTCCGAGGTAATGGTACAAGAGATTTGACTCATTCATGGTGTCTAATGGTTATACTCGTAATCAGTTTGATAACTGTGTTTACTCGAAGAAAGTTTCTACTGATTCATTTGTGTATATGTTGTTGTATGTGGATGATATGTTAATTGCAGCTAAGAACATGGTTGTAATTAATGACTTGAAGGCTCTACTAAAGGGTGAGTTTGAGATGAAGGATTTGGGTGCGGCAAAGAAAATACTTGGTATGGAGATCTGGCGTGATAGAGAAGCAAGACGGTTGTGGGTTTCTCAAGAAAAGTATATTGAGAAAGTTTTGCAGGCATTCTCTATTGATCAGTCCAAACCAGTAAGTACCCCTTTGGCGGCAGACTTTAAACTTGATCGAAACACTATACCGGCTACAGATGAAGAGGTTAATTACATGAAGACGGTTCCATATTCAAGTGCAGTTGGAAGTCTTATGTATGCGATGGTATGTACGAGACTGGATCTCGCTTATGCGGTTAGTATGGTGAGCAGGTTTATGGCTAATCCGGGTAAAGCTCACTGGGGAGCTGTAAAGTGGATCTTGCGATATTTGAAAGAAGCGTCTGATATTTGTCTGGTATATGATGATAAAGGCTATGGTGATGGTCTTGTTGGCTATGCAGACTCTGATTACGGGGGTGACTTGGTGAAACGAAGATCACTAACTTGTTTTATCTTCACTCTATTTAGATGTGCAGTCAGTTGGAAGTCTACTTTACAACCTACGGTTGCACTGTCGACGACTGAGGCGGAATACATGGCAATGACTGAAGGTATTAAGGAGGGTATCTGGTTACATGGTCTGGTGCAGAGTTTGGGTCTGAAGGTGGAGAAACCGGTGTTATTCTGTGATAGTCAAAGTGCTTTGAGTTTGGCTAAAAATCCAGTGTATCATGAGAGAACCAAACATATTGATGTAAGGTTGAATTTTATCCGTGATGTTCTGGAGGAAGATAAGTTTTCTATTCAGAAAATAGCTACAGAACACAATGCAGCTGATATGTTGACAAAGGCGCTACCAACGGAGAAGTTTGAGCAGATATGTTGACAAAGGCGCTACCAACGGAGAAGTTTGAGCACTGCTTGAACTTGGTGAATATTCATAGGAGGTAAAGCCTTCTCGGGGCATCTGGCAGGAAGAAGACGACTGAGAGATACTGACGAACCTTTGGCGGTTGGAGAAACTCCAAGTCAAGGTGGAGATTGTTGAAACGTGACTTGGATTTAGCGGTCTACTCGACCTAAACCAAAGCGAAAGGGCTGTTTCAATTGGCAGGATTTCTTTTGGGCTTATCCTAATTAATAACAAATAGACTTAGTAATAACTAATAGGCTTAGGGTTTAGGGTGTTTTGGGGTGCTTATAAATAGACAACTATGATTCTTAGTCGGATGACATATTGTAAATCTCTGAATCAGTATAATAAAATCTCTCCGGTTCCTGCCCGTGGACGTACGTTGACACACCATCACCGAACCACGTAAAACCTCTGTGTTCTTTATTTACTTTCTTTCTCGTTTTCTCGTATCAAACACATTATATTTTTAGTATATAAGTTTAACAAATTCTTAATAAAATTAAAATCTAGGCCTGAGATAGATTCTCAGGCAACTCTTGTACAACAATTGTTCGTTCCAGGAACAGAACAGAACAGAACAGAACGTTCATTATTCAATCTTCTGCAATAATCAAAACATAACAAAAAAGCACACAGCAACAATACCCGCAGCAAACCAAACCCATCTCAGAGAAGAGATAATAACATACAGACAGACCTTTGTACATTTACCAGACAGGCAACCCTGTAGAGTGAGTGTAGACCCTGGTCTTCCCATGCCCAATTTTGCGCCGAATAATCGACGAAGAGATCGATCGATCATTCACGGTGAGAAGGGCCATTCTTGAAGAGAGCGTAGGCGTCGCTGTATATCGCGACAACATTGGAGAAGACGGCGAGAACGATCATGAAAACAGACAGGACCTTGTCCTTTTTCGTGGCTATGCCATATCGATCCCTGCAAGAAATATGTTTTCGAGATTAGATTAAAACGTCGAGGAACGTACGCACACGAGCTGGCACGTAAACGATTTACCGAAGAGTAATCGCAGCGGGGAAAATGAAACCGATGCAGACGGCGGCAGTGGCTCCGGTGAACTGGAAGGCGTCCCAAATGCTCGGAATGAAATTCGCGCCGAGAAAGACGACTCCGATGAGTCCAAAGCTGAGCGACGCGAATCTGAGGTTGTCTGAAGTCAGAGGCCTCGCCGACGGGAAGAGGAGGCCGTCTAAGTTCAGACGGAGAGGATAAAATACGATCGGGAAAACAAGCATCAAGTGGGCAGCATAGCTGACACGGACAGCGTCGTTAAGCAAGGAACCGAATGGAATTCCGAGGTCGGTCGAGAAGTTTGCGAGGACGTCATCCAGAGTCGCGTCGCCGAACAAGAGGAACCCGAAGAGGCTCGTCATTACATAGACCGACGAGCACAGTGCGAGGGAAGCTCTCACTACCCCTGTTATCTTTGTGTTGTCATCGAGCTCGTTGTCTATCGAGTGAACTGTAAGAAAAGTGTAATGTGAAAGTTAGAAACGAGCAAACGAGGAGTCGGTCGTAAATCATTTCTTACTCACCGTTGTAATGGCAGATGTAGGCGGTGACGAGAACGGGAACTACCGTGAAGAGGTTGAGGGCTGAGGAGAGACCCGAAACCTCGGGGAACAATCTGGGCATCAGGACACTTCCATCGATCAACTTAAAGAGAGTTATACCGATAGTGATGACAAGAAACACGACAGCCAAAGCAACCGATAGAGCAGAGGTGTATCGCAACGAATCTGCGGATATAAATAAAGAAGAGTGAGAAATAAATTATAGACACTAAAAAATTGCGTTTTATTCATGATGAAAATATAGAAGCCTTAAATAGGAGACAAAATCAAATCTCAAAACAGAATTAAAATTAGAAACTAAGGTTATGTTATTTCGTGGGTTTTACCTCATATTTTTTTACTATTCAAGTTCTTTTTTCCTTTCAAAAATATCATATCAAACAATTACTTTTTCTTTTTTATATTATACTATAAATTTATTTTACATTCAAAACGTCACATCAATCTCTATTTATATCGAATCAAACAACTATTCAAATTCAACTTTTTACTATTAAAAAATCCAAACCAAAAACCTAAAATACACAAACAAACACACCCTAAAAGGCTAAATAGGCTCTGATACATGTGAGAAATAAATTATAAAGACTCAAAATTGCACTATTATTCCTAGCGAAAATAAGGGTCTGTAAATAGACATAATATATAGGCTCGACAGACTTAAACCTAATGGATATAACCAAAATATAAAACAGCTAAATACAATTTAAAACTAAATAACTAAAATATCTCAACAAGAATGTATTCAATATCAAAGACCAGAGATCATATGTTAAGCTCTCTATCAAATTTGAAAGTAACAATAGGCCTATCTCTTTAAGATTTGATTTTCATCTCGCACTATTTATCAAAATTTTCCCCTAAATCAACTTCTATTAAATTTTTTACTCAAAACATAGTGAAACACACCTATTCATATCGTATCATAAACTATTTAAATTCAAATTTTCAATATTACCGAACCCCAAACTCAAATGCAAACCTTAAAGTAACACACCCATATCCAACCCAACTCACAAAATCATTCACTGAATCTAAACTAAATTCATCATGCCCCTAATGTTCTAATTCACAAGCAAAAAGAGGAGAGGTTCACCGATTCGTTTTAGGCTAGCCAGAGGAGCGAATATCCCGACAGTGGTGATAAGGAGAACAAAAAATCGCCCATTCCACCAATGTGCTCCGAACCAGCCTTCCAGGACGCCAGCATGATGAATTCCTTCAGCAGTTGTTCCCGAAAGAACGTCGCCTTCAGCCAACAAAAAGCAATCAAAAGTAAAAATCAATATGCTTCCAAGATGAAGTAATTAATGAATACTTCAATCAACAGAATTCAGTAGAAATTAAGCTACCTATGATAATCATGTAGACAACGAGCACACCAATGTTGTTGACTAATACACATATCTGAATCAGCATCCTACCGACCTTCCCAAAAGCATTCTCCATAAGACCAGCATAAGAAGTCGACTTTGCCGTCCTGCTAAACCTGATCATAAATTCTATCGAGGCCTCTGTCAAGAATGCCATAAATACAATTACAAGAATCCCGAAGACAAGCCCCAGCACTTTCATGGTTGCAGGCAAAGCCATAATCCCAGCGCCAACAATTGTCGTTGACAGGTTAAACACGGCACCGCTGAAAGAAGCTCCATTGAACTCATCAAATCCAACCTCTTCCCCATGCTTGGAGGGCAACAATGGAGATTTCTCATTGAGAACAGCCTTCTTGCCCTTCTTTGACTTCTTTTCTCTGGTAGGCTCGAAGCTTCCGGTTGTCATCTTCAGATTTTTGGTCTAATTATTGAAGTAGAGATTAAGATCGGTTTTGCAACAATCCACAATCCTGGATTGCCTATTGAATAAAATCTGCACAGAAACCTTACAAGTTACCCCCAACCTTCATATGAATGGCTTCAAAAAGGGAAATATCCATAGATCTCCTAAGGTTTTAAGTAAAAACTTTTTCACCTACCTTCTGATTGATTAAGTTAAGCAGAACGCCAATTATTATCCACAAATTTTTTAGAAGAAATAAAGAAAAACTGAGGAAAATCTAAGAATTCCACTTCGAAATGGCGCTTGCTTGGCCAGATTCCTCTATAATTCAACAAAATATCTAGAAATTGAAATCCAATTGACTTCCAGTATAGGTAAAAATAAAAAAAATTGAACTGACAGGGAAATCAAGTTACATATTCAGAAAGCACCAAAGCAACAGCAACAAAAGCTCCAGAATAAAAACTAAACCTAAAAACCAGCGATGCAGAGGCACGCGAAGATCAATATATATATATATATATATATATATAAGCAAAAGGAGAGGCAATACCTCACGCAACGTTTTTCCGCAACTATACAGCAACACGGATTGAATTTTCTCTGTCCACCAATCGTTGTTCTACACTGACCAAAGACAAGCGCGTTCGTCGATAAACAAACAATAACAACAACAGATAACAAAACCAAAAAAAGTTAAAAAGGTAAAAACGTAACCTCCGATTAACTCCGGTAGCTGTAAAAGTAAAACGCAGTAGATTTCAAGAATTAACCTGGGAAATAGGACGAATCAGCGACCACCGGCGTCGCTATCGACGGATTAATTGGGGGCCCTTTTTGGGAAAGGAATCCTCTCTCCAGTCCAAACACCGCGAGAAAGGTGGATGACGCATGCCTTTGTTTCGATTATACGAAGGGATGGATATGTATAGAAACAAACGAAAAAGACCCGCCAGATATAATAATAATAATAATCACGTGGCATTAATATTAATATTAATATTGACATAATAATAATTGATTGAGTGTTTAGTATAAACTAATGAAAATTAAGTGGCCAGAATTATTGATCACGATCGCGCTTAGTGATTTATTTATTTTAATTTTAATTTTTTTGAATAATAATTTTATGAGATATTGAATTTATTCATCAACTATATATTTTTTTTCATATTTAACCTAACAAAATATATTTATTAAAAACACAAAACAAACATACCCCACCATAATATTTTTAAATACAAATATTATTTTGTTAATATGTTAGAGAGATTTTAGATATATTGTTAATATTTAATATATATCTTTTTAAATTATATTTTATTATCTAAATTAATTTTTTATTATTTCATTATATCACTCAAATTAAATATTTATTATTTTAGTCTATCCAATTTATATTACTAGCTATTTGTGATGTACTACTATTTTGTTCATTATTTATATTTTATTATAAAACTATAAAAATTAAATATTATGACTATTTGGATTTTTTTATATTTATTATTATTATTATTATATTTTAAATAAAAAAAATATTTGATACGGTATTTTACATGTAAAAATATATTTTTTTTGTTTTAGTCAAATATTTTTATTTTTTATTTTTGTACGTTTAAGTCAAATATATATATATATATTTTTAGTAAAATTACATATCAATAAAATGTCAGTATATCTCTTGCTTTTTAAAAATTAAAATAATTATTTCAATATTATTTGAATTACCATATCAAATGTTAAATTTATATTATGTTTTTTTTTATAGGTAGTCTAAAATCGAAACATATATAGGTTAACAATGACAATAATTTACTATAATTTTCTTAGTTTGCTCAATGTTGGTCAGTTCAAATATGTAGTATATTTCATACTACCTCCGTTTGCTGTCAATCTATCCATTTGTATTTGGCTTTATTATTTTTAATATTAAAAATATCTTTATATTTTCGTAATCTTTTGTACAAATATCATTGCATTAGTATTACAAGACACAATAGAAATATTTGTGTCGTTTTTCCTTAATTTGAACAATATTTTGATATAATAATTAATATTCAAATATTAACATGCAAAACATAGACGGATTAATTGGTGGTGGACGGATATAGTATTATTATTACGACATGCTTTTATTATAAATAAAAAAAAAACTATTAAATTTTAGAAATTTAGGTTTTGTTTAAACAATACACTCTCATTCATTTGACACTAATCATTAAAAAATATCACATAAAATACAATTTTTTCTCTTAAAAAATATCAAATCAGATACTAATTTTTTAGTTTTTTTTCAAACTTACAAATTTTCAAAAACTTCTAATATAATTAATTTAATATTTCCTTGATTGATGTATATAAATGATAAATATTAAGATAATACTTTCTTAATATTATTATAATTTTTGTAAAAAATAATTTAAAACTAAACTATACCAACAAATAGTTACCAAATTTTCTGGGAGTAAATATTTTATATTATAAATATAATATTTTAAAAAATATTATTTTTTTATCATAATAAATTTGTATTATTGTCTCATTCCTTCCTTCAATTAACAATACATTACATTATCATTTAGGTGGATTAAACTAGATATTTATATTTTTTTTTACCAAAAAATGGTAATTGGGTAGAAAGCTGACCTTTATTACATTTATGTTTTTTTTCGTAAAAAATTGTAATGGCCGAACCTAATACCCTACAAACTAGATTCCACAGAAAAATCAGTGACAAATGACCTGAGGCATCAGGGGATTTGAACCAATTACCTCACGATCACAAGTCCAACCCTGTACCATTGGGTCATCCCTTACAATACTTTTGGATATAAAATTATTCATAAGATATATATTATCCATTTATTGTGGATAGTGTTTTTTCCGATTTATCTATTCGACCTATAAGCCCACAAACTCAGTCCAATATCCAATCCAAACTCGCAATTCATTTTTGAGCATTATGTAATAATGCAACATGGATGATAATCACATTTTTTTTTAAATTTTAGAATTTCAAAACAAAAATTTCTACAAAAATAACGTTAAAATTGCGGATTTGAATTGAAAACTGAAAGTGTATAGTTATTTTTACCAAAATGATTTGAACCACAAGTTTTAATTTGTCAAAAAGGTCAACTAAAATCGAGCATTCTGAGTTACGATTCCGGTTTGTATTTCTTGAGTTTGGTTTCAATTACAATGGTTCCGGTTTAAAAACCATTGGTTCCGGTTTGAATCGATGATATATATACGTGTATATATATATATATTTATTTTTTTACTTTTTAAATTTCAAAATTTTCCCAAATATTGTAAATCTTGATATTTAGTATTACTAATATTATGTGATAAATGATGTCGAACCGTGACGAAAATAAATACTCACTCGTCAAATTTATTCTAATTTTTTTCAGTCTGTCCACTAAATTTATCTTATTACTAATTTTGACAAAGTCAACGTATAATTATTACCCTTCAATTGAACACATATTTATAACAAATATTACTAACTTTATTACATTTTTTATCTCTATTTACTTTATTTTTTAATTAAATTTTTAAAAATACCCCCAATTATTTATCATTTTTCAATAAAATATTTATTTACTTTTAATTCTCGTACCATACCTAAATAAACTAATTTTAACGAAGGTAGGGAATATATGAGAATGAATATGATAAACTGAGAATAATAATAATAAAACTAATGTATTTTTTTTATACTAATATATTTTTAATATCTTGTTAAAACTATTTGAATGACTTATATATATATTTACCTATTTGGTTATGTTTTGTATGTATTTATGAAAATTATATAAAAATCTACAATCATATTAATTTTATGAAATCTATGAAAATTAATAAATACTTCAGTCAAATTTATAAAAATTAGTTTAAATCTCTAAACTAAATAGACCAAACTAGGCATATAATTTATGGATTTTTTTAACTTCACAAAAATTTATAATTATTTTTTAAAATATTAAACATTGAATAAAATTCTTAATTAAATCCACTCAAAATATTATTCACTCTCGTCTCAAACACTGTGCAATACTTGTGTTTGTCACGAGAATTTAGGTGGGAAATATTAAATATAGCAATTTGAGATAATTTGGATATTAAGTAACGTGTGATTGAAGAGATAAATGATTATTATTATTTTTTATTTGAATGATGTGATGAAATAAAATAAAATATATATTAATATACATATATATATATATATAAATATTATTAATTATTTTTAAATTTGAAAAAATTGCATTCAGTTTGGACAAAAAAAAAAAATATATTGTACGGTGTTTTACACGAAGGGAGGACTACACATGAGTGACTCGGAAAAAAAGAGCAATGATAAGGATTCAAATTAATCATTTAAATAATATCGTCAATTATTGAGTTTATTTTGTACATTACCATCTATATATAATAGTATATAATTACGTGGACGCCATCGTTACACGTGGAATCCACTTGTTTATAATAATGTTGTAGTATTATTCTAACTCCAAATTATTACCGCCACTAATTTTAGGCTTTGTATAATAGGAGGATCGGAAGTTTTTTTAACTTTTTGAAAATGATAAAAATTTTCTATCCGGCCAAATTGATTACTATTATTATTTTGATTTGGCTCTGTTTACCCAATAAATTTTTACTCAGTTTATATTATTTATTTTTTAAAAAATATTGCATTAAATATATTTTTTTATTATAAAACATCAAATTAGATACTATTTTTTTTTATTTTTTTCAAACATCCAAATTTTTAAAAACTAAAAAAAAAAAAACTAACATTTAAGTAATTAATAATTGATTACTGAAGAGGATCACATGCTCACCTTGTATATAATTTCAGCAGTGCTGAATTAATATAAAATTATATATTTATTATTATATTAAATTTTTATAATTAGATATTAATAAAATTAAGGGATGTGATTAGCTCCAGCAGTGCTGAATTATGCATTTCAGCATAGTATTCATACCGATTTATTACAAGACCTATATTTTCTTCCGTAGCTAGATATTTATTTGCTTTTTGTAAGTAATTTTAAAAAAATTTAGTATTATATTGGGATGCGGTAGTAATAAAGTAGAAATGACTAAAATAACTTTATTAGTATGTGTGATATAAAAGTATTGACATTTGTGTAATACTTCATCCGTCCAATTTCTATTGTCTTAAAGTATATTTACACGATTTTTTAGGTGATTGTCTTTTTGTTATGAATCGACAAATTTGTTCTTAATTGTATGATAGAGATTAAAAGTAATAAATGAATGAAGGGTAAAAATGTAAAATTTGTGTTTAAAAAAAAATATAACAATAATTGTTGGACGTTTCAAATAGGAAAATAGGACATTAGTTTGTGGACGGAGGGAGTATATTGGAAGTTGTAAGGATATTTGTAATGTGAGGTAAATAGTACAGTTACTAAAAAAATTGATACTTTGTTATGGGACGGACTAAAATGAAAAAATGGATACTTTGTTATGAGACGGACTAAAATGAAAAAATGAATACTTTGTTATGGGACGGAGAAAGTAGTATTTATGTAATCCCTCCGTCTACCTGTAAAGTTTACATTTGTTTTTTGTATGTTGATATTTGAATATTAATTATTATATCAAAATGTAGTACAAATCAAGAAAAAATGACAAAAAACAATTATATTAATATTTTATAATACTAATAGAATGACATTATACAAATAATTATAAAAATATAAAGATATTTTTAATGTTCAGTACAATGACGCAAAACGTTAATGTAAACTTATTAAGTGAACGGATTGAGTATTATATAAAAGTATACATTGTGTGAGATATATCTTATGCTTATTGTGCTAAAATAACAATATATTATGCTATATGAAATTATATAATAATTTATATTATATGTTGTATTAATATTTATGGTGCGTTATATAATCTATATATTTATATTGTACTACATATAATTATATAATATACTATTAAAATATGAAAGTATAATATACTCCATCGGTTCCAAATCAAAAGAGTCTTTGAGGTTTTATATTAAATTAAGAAATAATAGTATAATCAAGTGAAAATGTGTAAGAATTTTTTATATTTGTTTAATTTGACTTTACGCATAAAGTAATTATATGTGTAATATTATGTTTATAATTTAACTACAAAATAAAAATATTTTAATATTAATGTATAATTACTTTTCCTAAAACAGGAAAGACATACTTGAAGTGGAATAGACAAAAATAATAAAAAAAAATACTTTTAATTGAGATGAATAGAGTATTGTATTAAAATATGTTGTCCATATGTTATTTTATATATATATATATAAATACGCGTTGATTATGTCATATTAACACTAACTAAATTATTCAACTATTACTCATTATTCAACATTTATTTACAATGAATATCACTAATTTTATTATATTATATTTCTTCGTTCTCCTTAATTATTCACTAAAATCTCAAAAAAAATTTAAAAAAATTCTTCAACTATTTCTTTTACTTCTCTGATTCTTTTAATAAAAAATAATAATAAATTTAATTCTCTTTACCAGCCTCAAATAACTATTTTTGTCAGGTAAGTACTACTATTATATAAATATAAATAGAAATTGAATATAATATTTAATATAAGATTTATTAAAAATATTAATCACAATGAATAATACACTTTTCATTGAAATGTATACTTAAATTTTTAATTTTAATAAAATGAATAGGATAATTAAATTCAACTACATATTTCAGGGCCTGCTTTTATTAACGGGCTCCGGCAGGGCATAAATCGGATCGGGTCAAATTTCTCACAGGAAAGCCCATGTGGCTCACTTGTAATAAGCCCAAGTATTAAAATATAGACAAGCCAGATCATCACTCTGTAGAAGTGACACGTGGCAAATAATATTATAATATAATTATTAATAAATAAATTACCAGACGCAGACGCTTCGTTCTTGCGTTAAACCGACGCTCAGGCACCACCGCCGCCGCTCCGCCGCACTAGCTGTCGCCGCCGCCGGCTGCAGCATCTGTTGATTAATCATTCTCCTTTTCTTCTCAAACCTTTTTTCCCTACTTTTTCTTCATCGAGATTCGCTGGCATCTCAAGCTCGCGTTAGTAAACCTGCGCCGATCCGGCTGCTGCTGTGGTGATCCGGCGATCCATTTTCAGTTTTTGATTGGATGATTGGATGCTTTTTTGAACGTGAAAACTGAATCCGAATGAATCTGATGCGGTGAGTGGTTAGTTACTTCTTCTCCTTTTGTTGTTTGAGCGAATCGTTTGTAGGAAATGCGTTAGCATGAGTGTAAGTGAGGAACATAGGTATGAATCGGTTTCATATATGTTGTTGAATGAATTAATCGAGCAGCTCTCGATTTCGAAGCACCACTGCAATTTACTATATTTTCACTTTTTATAGCAATCCAACACTTAGATTTGAGTCCTAGATTTCGAGTCTTACCTACCCTGCCACGAGTTGATTTGCTTTCTCGGTATTGGATTTTTGTTGGAATGGTGATAGATTTAGCATGAATTTTGAAATGGAACTCAATATTACGAGTAGTGCAATGGTTGTGTTACTGCCTATGCGGCATCCATGCATAGTGACTAGATCTGTTCGAGCGAGGGCCTTACGGCATTCTAAGTTCGAGTAAGATCGAATAACAAGTTCATTGAAACCTATACTTACAGACTAAAATAACATTTCTCTCAAAATAATTTGATTGGTTAAAACATGCCATTATCCTCTCAAAGCAGATTTGGTTAAGTACATACTAATCAGCATTTTTTTTTCGGATAAAATTTGCATTTGTGTTAAAAAGATTATGTTCATTTTGTTAAACACTTTACACCTTTGGATTCTTTGTGTCACCTGAGGAAATGAGCATCAATGGACTGTAATAATGGCTTCTTTGTTTTCTCAGGATGTAATGTAAACTTTTGATGAATAAAAATGGGTTCTGATGACATGCTAGACAGATCTGCTTCTATTGAAAATGTCAGTTCAGATGAAGTTGAGGCTGAAACAAGCAACATCAATTCACTCGAAGTCATTTCCTCTGTTGGTGGCATTACTCATGAGATAGAAAGTGCAGCCGAAGCTTTAACTAGGCTTGAACTTAATTTAGCTCGCTCCTCTGAAAAATTGGTTAACTTGGACATACTTGTTTTGCATGTGGCTTCAAGGGAAAATGATTTTGAGGATTCTACATCTGAGGAAGCAGAGAAAGCAGAAGGCCTCGTTGAGAAGGCCCTAGAGTTTGACATGTTACATGGATATTTAGAATCTGAAGTCAGAGAGCTGGAGGCATTTCTCTCTCTTCTCCAGACTGAGATTCTTAGTACACTGGAGACTGTATCTTCATTCAAGCAGCTTGGTGAAGCTACTAAGGAAATGGAAGATAAGCTGCATGATTGCGAGATTTCCTTGAAGCAGTGTTTTGAACAGGTCTCAGAGATAAAGGTGCAATCTTCAAAATTCAAAAGGGTTTTGGGAGCCTCTTCTGGAGATGGACAATGTAAGTTCTTCATGTTTTCATATTTTGGTACTTTAACATGTTTTAAAATTGAGAAACTGACAATTTAGTTTTCTTTTCTGAAGCCTTATAGTGATTTCCTTGTCCAAAAGTATAAAATATAGTATATAATATTGAATCAACAAATTGATATAAGTTCTTGATTGCAGTTGCGGAGGGGGTTATGTCATAACCTTGGTCCATTAAGTTTAACTCCTTACAGCGTATATTCATTGATAATTGATTCATCTTGATGATCTTATTTTGTCTTTCACTTCTCTGCTGTTGTTTAATCTTCACAATTCTAGTACTGAAGCTAGATGTTTCATTTTTAATCTGCGGAAGGCAGAAATACCTTCCATTATATTTATTTTATTTCTCTGTTACTTTTTAACTTAGAATGTCTTCATTGAATTCACAATGATTGGAAAATGCTGACAGGTAAAGATGACAAGGAGATTGCTGGTTTGGAAAATGGTGACCTTTCAGATATAAATGCAAAGATTAAAATGCAGACTGCTGAACAGCAGAGGAATGTTTTGAGAATGCTGGAGAAATCCTTGGCCCGGGAAATAGATCTCGAGAATAAGCTAAATGAATTAAGAGGAGTTGAACAAAGTTTAAAACTTCAGTTGCAGCAAGAACTCTTCTGCCTGGAAGTAGAAGCTGAGGATATGTGGCAAAGGCTATTTGAGGCGGAAAATAGCTCAGAAATTCTGTTGATGATTTCAAAAGATCTATTTGCAAAAATAAATGGGTTGACTCAGCGAGATGATGATTCGCAGTCCTTGAAAGAAAAGGCACGTGCTTTACAGGCCTCTGAGACTTCCCGGATTGAACTTGTTGAAAAAGTTAGTTTACTAGAGCAGAAATTAATGGAAGCCGAGTCACAACTGCATCTCTTGAAGGATACTATGGAGCAGAATAAAGAACTTAAGGAAAAAGCTGCCAAGGAAGAAAAAAGGGCCGAAATTGCTGAAGCTGAGTCTAAATTGCACAGGGAGTCTAATATGGAGTTGAATAAAGATGTGAATCTCTTGAAAAATAGCCTTGCCGAGGCAACTGAGAGGGTGGAAAGATTAGAGAAGCAGTTGGTGGACTCTGAGATCAAACGACTGCATGCTGAGGCAACTGCAGAAGCCAGTCAAGAGAAACAAAGCATGTTAGAATGCACAGTCAAGGATATGGATAATTTAATAAAAGATCTAAAGTTGAAGGTTGTAAAGGCAGAAAAGCTGACCGAGAGTGCTGAAGATAAATGCATCATATTGTCTGAATCCAATGCAGAACTCTTTGAAGAATTAAATTTTCTGAGGCATAGAGTTCAGAACTTGGAGAAATCCTTGCACCAAGCTGATGAATCGAAGAAGGGCACTGCAAAAGATATTATGGTGCGGACTAAATTGATTGCAGATTTGGTAATGCAGTTGGCTCTTGAGAGAGAACGTCTTCGTAATCAGGTTTGTTCTCTACTTATGATTCCTTTTTCACAATCGTTATATTTTACCACATCACACCAAACTCTGCATTTGCTTTCACATTTGAGAATAAAATAAAAAATTCTATGGATGTTTAATGTGGTTCCAAACAAGTTACGGAAAACAACTAATGAAAAATCAAAGTAAACGCAAACCAAGATTTCAGTTTGAAACACCTTTATAAATTAGGAAGTTTTATTCATGTAAAATAAGAAATGGTTAATCTGGTTTTATCTTGTCTATGCTTATAGTCTTGTGAGGGACGAGATTAAATGCAAAATAACATAGTACAAATAGTGCCCACCATAAGGGCATGATGAGAAATATTTGAATAATATAATCTGTAAGAAAGGAGTTTTAATGCTAGCTGATATTGACGAAATTCCCATCTATTAATGCAGCAAGTGTTGACGAAATTCTCATCTATTAGTACAGCAAGTGTTTGTTCTTGTTCTTATTGCCTTGTAATGTTCTATTATTGCCTTGCAGATATCATCTTTGGCAGTGGAGAAGAAAACTGCGATGACTTATTTGCAGCAAATGAAAGACAACTCACTCACCATGGCCGGAAACAACAGTGCTAAAGCAAGAGAACCTCTGGTTTCCGAGAATGATAGTGAAAATGGAACTATTAGAGAGAAAAGTAATGAAGCAATGATGGGGTCTTCCGATGCCAGTTGTGAGGTTGGTTCTTAAGCTTCCTTTTCCTTCCTGCTTATTTAAGTATTATTGTCTTAAAAATATTTAAATTGCTGGCATCTACTAGTTAACCGAACCATGGTTTGAACTGGCTGAAAGTAATTTCAAGTAGATTGCATTTTTAGCAACAACTGCAGCTCTTATAGTTTTTTTGTTTTAAAAGTCTTGTTTCTTGAAGAGACTATCTTCCTCATCAAAGATGTGATACTTCGGCAATGTCCTTGTTTGGATTAACTCATGTTGGATGAAACTATAGCCGAACAGAAGTTTTGAGACTGACCCGTCGGATTTGGGCATTGAATTAAATTATACACGATTGACTATGTTATCCGAAAAACTGATTGTGACAAAGAAACATACAAATTTAAATTTAGCTGCTTTTCAGTTCGGGTTATGTATACTCTTTACCCTAATCGTACTATCAATTCAACACTTGGAAGTCCTCCTAGATATCTGTGATGTTTCAAAGCCTTTGCTGTTTTATGTTTTTTCAGACAAGCAGCGTGCACGGAGAGCTCTTAACCAATGAGATCAAGACAGGCAACGGAAATTCCCCTTCGGACTTGGACACCGTAAGAAATATAGATGTGAGGCAACTCAATGTCAAGCACATCTTCATTGTCTCCGCATTGGTGATTCCCACGTTGGCGGTATTCCTGTACATGAAGTTAGGGACAGGTGAGTTTTAAGGCTGTCAGTCCGGTGCGTGTTCTTGAACCCTCTGGTCGTTTAGCTCGATTAATGCTTTCATTGGTAGAATTATCCTATCTTAGAATGTGTTTTTGTTATACATCACTAAAAACACATGTTGTTATGACTCTTGGATTTTGATATCAGAACATATTGAGAAAACCTTTAGCATCGTCGTGAATATGGACAGATTTGTAGCTGAAAGATATCCGAATTTCATTGAAGGAACAGTTTATTCGACAGAACGTATAATCAATTGAGATGAAAGTTCTTCAGGACTACACATGCCCGGTATGAATAATAGATTACTTGAGCTTTGCTAGTGTTTTGGATTTACTTTTTGTGTTTCTTTTTTCAATAATAGAAATCATATTTTACATGTCACGTTTTAAATGAAAAAACATGCCTTCGGGTATGTTGTTTTTAAGGACAAAATAAAACATTATGTTTTAAATATTATTTTACCATATAACTCCCGTCCCTCCGTGTCCTGCCATATATGATTCGCCCAGTGTGATTTGCCTGTTTTGTTAGGTTTGTGTTTACCATTTTCAGATAGCTGCTGAGGATTATTATGTCATAAAAAATATATATATTATTATTTACTAAATGATAATCAATTTTTTATATACTCATTATTTTTTTTATTAATCTTTCTAATAATATTTTTTAGTCATCAATTAAAATATTACTATTATTTATCAATACTATTTGAAAATAAAATACAAACACACATTCACAAAAATTCGAATAAAAAAGTATAAAATAGAAAAATATATAACAATATATATTTATATATTAAATTGCTGGAATCCAGTAAACCAATTATATAGTCCCGCATTCAAAAAGAGCTGTCCTTTTTTTTTCTTAAAAAAAAAAGTTACATTCTTTTTTTATGAAGTAACCCTAATTTTTACTTTGCAATAAAATTATTTATATTTTGTTATTATATTTACATAAATAATATTGTAGAAATCTGTCATTTATATTTTATTTTATACTTATTTTTAATTTGATATTATTATTCTATCGTGTACTATTATTCTATTGTGTGCTCATTTTCAATAAGATATCTAGTTTGAGACAGAAAAAATATATATAATTATATATATATGCCTCCATATACATAGGGTGTATTTTTTTTTACCTCAAATAACCCAATATTTTTTATTATTTAGTTTTTATGTTGGGATTTGAATAGTAAAAATTTTGAATTTGAATAGTTGTATGATGTGATATAAATAGGGGTTGATGTGATGTTTTGAATGTAAAATTGATTTTTAGTATAATATAAAAAAATGAAAAATAAGTGTTTAATTTGATATTTTGGAGGGAGAAAAATTGGATGAATATAGTAAATCCAATCCAATCCCCCAAACAAACACACCCAGAAATATCTTGTCAAATACTCCCTCCGTCCCAACGGTAACATTTTCTTTTTGGTACGTCCCAAATACCCTGCAATATTTTTAAAATAAAAATAATTAATTTTATTTAATTTCTACCTAATATTTTATCCACTCACATCATCCAAATAAAATGTACATTTTTTTTTATTATATCACCTAATTTTTAAATTATTTCACTTAATACTATCCATCTAGATGCATTTGCTAAAAACAAATGCACCTATTTTAGATAGATGGAGTATTATTTTATTCAAAAGAAACGCACATATTGTGCACTATTTGAGATAGAGGGAGTATTATTTTATTAAAAAGAAACACATAATATTGTGCAATACTGTATGTTTGTATTGTATAGGTTCTCGGAGATAAGATAGGTGTAATAAAGGGCGCTCTCTAAGAGTGTGGTCTAAATATAATATAATATTATAAAATAAAAGCATAGAAAAGTTATATTACATGGGAATGGGATGGTCAAAATGTACAATCACAAAAAGCCACACTTTCTTCAAATCATATAATACAGTACTTCAATTTTTAAATCATACTTTTAAATCATCATCATCATTAATAACAATACTTCAATTTTTATTTTTTATTTTTTATTTATTTTTTTTAAAAAAACAGAACTTTCTTTTCTTAAATATCTTAACACTGAAGATTTCTAAAGTTTGGACAATTTTAATCAATATAGTATTCTCTCCGTCTATTTTCTAATGTTCTATCTGACATTTTCATGCATTTTTAGACAATTAGGGTTTTTGTTATAAAATGACAAATTTGTCTATAATTTTGTGTATAGAAAATGAAAGAGTAAATAAATTAAGGGTAAAAGAGAGGACAATAATTTTTGGACATTCCAAATAGGAAAATAGGACGTTAGTTTGTGGACGGAGGAAATATATATTATATTTGAATGAAAAATAAATGTAGATGCAATGAATAAAATACTTAAAATTAAAAACATTCAATAATTACGTTCATTGTTTTTTATATCAATTGATCAACTTACTATACTCTAAGTTCGAAATTGATTTATTTATTTCACTATTTTTATTATATACGAAATCAATCTATCTATTATTTTAGTAGTCATTTATATTATATTTTTCCTAACTCAAATCATTGTCTTTGTTCTTACATATAAAAAAAAATATTAAAATTTTAGAGTCACAATTTTTTATTCACCAATATATATATTCTATATATGTACATATAAAATACTATTATTTCAAAATTTATGTAAAAAAAAAAATTAATAAATACATAGATGAAGGGAATATTTTAATTATGTATGCCCATTTCCATTTACATTCAGTAAGTTTTTTACTTTAATTTCTTTTATTAATTTTTTACTATAAAATATCATAATTATATTAAAAAATATATATTAAATTTTAATACAAAATACTATTTTTTTCCTCTCATATAATTTATTTCTATTTTCTACTTTTAATTGTTCTACATAATTTGTCAGTTTTTTAATATATAATTATACATTTTAAATTTTATAATTTTTATTTTTTTAATTATAATTAAACTATTTGATTATTTTAATTTAATCTTTTAATTATTTTTATTCATATACTTTTTAATTATCTATTAATTATATTTTATTTAAATTTTTATATATGCATTAATGCACTCAAAATATTTAGGATAAAAAGAGTATCATGTTAAAAATCTTTCAAAAAAACGAATTCAAATATTTTTATTTTGTGGAATGTTTTAAAAAATATTTATTATATAAAGTATTAAAAAATATATAATTAATATAAAAATAATAAAATGTATAAAAGTATATTAATATTTTTGAACAACGTGTTGTATTTAAAAAAAAAAATGAAAAATGAACGGATCAAAGTAAACAAACCCTTGCATGTCCTAAAGCTGCCCCTATAGTATTAGTTCCTCCGTCCCATGTAATATGAGTGTAAATATAATTAGTAAGTAATTAAAAAATATATTAATAAAAATAATTATTATTTAGTAAAAATAATTATAAATTAAGATAAAGATAAGTAAATAGTTTAATTAAAATTAAAAAAATTATAAAATTTAAAATTTAAAATGCGATTAAAGTACATAATTATATTTCCAGAAAAAAAAATGACAAGTTATGTGGACGGAGAAAAATAAAAAATAGGGACAAATTACGTGGGACGGAGGGAGTATTTTTCATCCGTTAATATATAATTATTAAATACTAATCCCAACCAACCGTACAGTGACACGTGTTGGCGTGGATGGGGGGTTTGGGGGGCAGCACCACGCGTGTGTGGGAACTTTCTAACAACAGCAACTGCACAGGGAAAAAAAAAGGAATGGTTAGAGTCTATTGTTTTATTTAATTAATCAATCAAATTCAAGCCCTATTTATAAATTAATTAATTTCCTTTTATTGGTGGGATCTATCATACCATTATTTTATTTCATTTTTATTACTTCATATATATATATATACATACATACATGTATATTGCAAATACTTTTTATTTTGTTTTATGCACAAAAGCTTAAAATCTAATTTAAATTATTAATCTTTTTTTTTTTACTCAAAGCTATGTACTGAATTTCAGTGATATTTTATTTATTTATTTATTTATGTTTACATTTAAAACACTAATTATAGAGAGTTTTCGTTAATATAATCCTAAATATTCTAAAATTGTTTGAATTTATAGCTATAATTCGATATTTATTGAAATCTATTTGTACTTAATTTAAACTTCTTATTGTTTTCTTACTTACATATTTATATATTGTAATTTTAAAAATGTTTCCCTTTCAAGTGAATTTCAATATAAAATATTAATTGAATAAATATGTGAAAAGAAATACCATGGAATTTTAATAATTTTTTTTTTATTTATAAAATGTTATATTAAATTATTATTTAAAACGTAAATTATGAATACAAGCACACGTTAGGTGTAATAATAATAATAATAATAATAATAATAATAATAATAATAATGTATAAAAAGAGAATGATTGTGCAATATAATAATAGAAAAAATGAACTTTTATTTAATTTCATTTCCAAGAAAACAAAAAAGAAATCAATCTTATCATGTAACTTTGGAAAAGCCAACGTTTGACCGTAATTTCATAATAATAATAATAATAATAATATGTGTACGTGCATGAGCATGCATGCGTGCATGAGATAAAGAATCTTTCATCAACTTTACACTAAAACCCAAATATAATAAGGATCTACACTAAAAAAAAAAAAAAATAGTATATTTGTAATGGAATTTCGTTCCTAAAGTTCACATAGCTGACATAATTTCATCCCTAATTCTGTCTCTAATATCATTAGTAACGGAAAAAATGGATTTAAGAACAAAAAAAAATTTGTTACAAAATTGATATTTTTTTTTAGTGCTACTTGTTTGTAGTATTTGAATTGGGATTTAATTTTCAATGTCTTGAATTATAGAATGAAAAAAAATTACTTTCAGTGAAGTTTTAAAATAGTTTCATTAATATACAACAATTGAAATTAAATTAGGTTGTCTGCAATTTGAATATTGTCACGTGTACTGGTATTATATCGCTCCTCTTCACATGAACTTACAATTTGGCAATTTCCAGCACCAACGGCTGATATAAATTTAATTTTGTATATTAATTTAAAAAAATTAAACTCATATAAATATTTGATGCTAAAAATTAAGATTTGGGTAGTTGGATTAAATATACTAGTAGTTCTAGCTACATAAGCTTGAGTTAATTAAAGAGGTATATGAGCAAGATTAAAATTATATTAATCATATATATTTATAAAATTAGGTCGATATTATAATACTAACGTTACTTTTTTAGTATCACATCTAAATTATTATTATTCTTATTATTTTCTTTTTCAAAGGGAAAAAGTTGAGAGGACGAGAATTGCGCCTTAAATGGA